ATCGGCGCCCCACCAAAAACCACAGCCACAACATGACTCTATTTCAAGGGTTCATTCGTTGACTAAGCTGGTTTCACCAGCCCCATTGGGATTCATATCGCAACAATACAATTTCACTTCAATTAGTCTCACACAGCAATGGTTCTGCTCATAATTTTGCTTTTATTTAGTGGCTATTGGGCCCAAGCTAAATCCATCCCTGCTAAGAATATCTTGTAAATCCCAACACTGAATGAAGAGTCACTTAACATGGTATTGGGTCGCGAGGAACGGAATACACAATGGGCGAGCCGGTGTATGTGATGCCGAAGGGGGTATGCGAGAGCGATGGGTGATATGAGAATTATGTGAGCGATAAGATGGGAGGCGCGGGTCGAGTGACAATGTCGGGATCCGAGGGTGTAAGAGATAGAAACATTTGTGCGAGGTGAAAGAGAGGGGAAGGTGATGCGAAGTGTGAGTAGAGATTGATTGAGAGGAGCCGTGATGTGCCCTTCTCGGTCCTGAGAGATTGCGCTGATCCTGTCGTTACCAGCTCGTCAAGGATGATTTTGTGTCATTAGCCATAACCATTTCGGACTGCGCCGTTTTGGTTGAACAGTCATAAGAAGAACTATATCATGCCCCCGGAGGACAAGCATGCCATTGCCAAAAACTCCAGGTGGGCGAAGCTGATATAGACGGCAAGCTGCAGTGTTTGGTAGCGATCTGCTCGCCAAAAAAAAGAAGCTGGTTCGGTTTAAAAGGCGAAGATGTGACAGGTAAGGCTCGAGTCGGAATCGACACTAGTCAAACCCTAATTGATGTAGCAAAGATATTGAGAAGGGTAAGAATCAGGAAAAGAAACGAGTTTTATGATGGAGGGTTTTCGGGGTTGATAAGGGGGAATGGGTCGGACAAATGGATTCAGTCGCTCGTAATGCTGCCATCTGGTATCGTCCTAACTGAAAACACAAGCCTCGCGGCAAGTCAGATCTGAAATGCCCCAGCCCATCCTGCCAAAAACTTATTTTAGCAAGTCGCATGGAGCACGAGAAAAGCAAAAATCAACGAGATTTCTTCTGAAAGTCGGCTATTCGGCCTCTTGAAGTTGGCTTCGGCGCATCTTCTCCGCCTCTAGGTTCTCATACAAGAGGAAAAGTGCCGACTCGTTGGCCTTAGCGGTACCCATGATGGTGAACATACGCTCACCAGTCTCATCGTGGGGTGCCTGCAGTTCATAAATCAGTAACGTAATAAACAAGCTCAAAGTCAGATGATTTACCTTGGCAATGGAGATGCGTGCGCCTGATGTCTTCCGGATCTCGCTAATCTTGCTTCCAGCACGTCCGATGATGCACCCAACCATGTCTGCGGGGATACTGATGTTCTGAGTTTGGATCTCCTCGCCATTCTCGTCGTGAGTGGGTGGGCCTCGAAGAGCTGCGTCAGAGTCGGAACGGCGGTTATAGGGCCTTGAGCTACCGTTGCTGAAGTCGGCACCGTTGCCTGTTCGCATGACACGAGGGCTACCACCATAATCGCTCCTGCCAGAGCCCTGGTTGAACCCTGCTCCACCACTGGTGTTACCACTGTTGGAAGGCTGAGTGCGAACAACCGGGTTGTAGAGAACAGTGCCAGTGCCTCGCTGCCAGTCGTCGACCAAGCATTTGCAGATCTCCCAGATAGCACGCTGGATGCCTTCAGGAGTACCCTGAACCTCGACTATTCTCTCGGTAGATTGAGGGAGCATCTCTTTCTGAGCAACCATGCGAACTCCAGAAGCGTCCTGAATGTGCTTGATCTTAAGACCTTGTCTTCCAATAATGGTACCCATCTGGTTGTGAGAAATGAGAAGCTTGATGGCTATACCTCGAGTTAGTAAAACCTGATATTTTGTTTATCTTGTGGGCAAGATATATGACGTACGATGAGTCCCATTGCTTTGGACTACGCCTCCCATGCCCATCGCAGGCGCACCCTCCAATAGAGCGCGAGCAACAATGGCATAGGCACGAGAAATAGCATCGCAACCACCAGTGATGGTCAGGACACGGTCGTGAACACCTTGCACGACCTTACTGACACCGGCCTTGACACCAGTCTCATCTCTGAGATCAGCGACGTTCTTGCCGGCCTTGCCAATAATGACACCGGCTTCCTTGGAGGAGACGATCGCACGAAGGGTGAGCTGGGCCTGAGCGTACTCCTCCTCCGTCTTAGGGGCAGGTTCGCCGTCAGGGCCGAGGCGGTCATCCATTCTGAGCTGATCCATCTGATCGAGGATGTCACTGCCGTTGCCGGGGATGGAGTCTTGAGGGGCCGACATTTTGCTGAGAGGTAGTTCGTGAAGAGCGGTGCGAGAAGAGGATAAAGGGTTTGAGGCGGAGAACAACAGACAGACAAGGGGATATCTGTTCAAATCTATTAATTGTGTTAGATAATGTCGCCTTAATAGTTGGCCTGGCAAGCGAATTCGTGGAGGCGCAAGCCGATATGTTCGGACGATCGTCACTCGTATGTAGCGCACATTTAGAGCAAGGGTGCTCAAAATGACATGCGCTTCGACGATATGGCCAAACAGACGCTCATCCAGAAAAGAAAAAAGTAGAAATCACTAACCTTGTCGTCGACGCTGGGGGTGCTGCGAAGACGTTGAATGTATGCTGGAGAAGGCGGGGGCAGCAAGATGGAGGTGATGCAGTGTGTTTTTTTTTCTGCGGTAGGTTGTTTGTACGCGAGGCGGGATAGCGGGGTCAAGGGTCGTTGCGAGTACTCCGGTTCAGAAAGCAGCGGCGGAGGCGGGCGAGTGGGCTATTGAACGATACGCGGGAGGCGTAGTCTATGGTTAAGAAAGCTTCAACAGCTGATGTAATGGGATAGTAGCGGAACAAGGGTCAAAGAAGAGGAGGATGAGAGTAGAGCGCGGGGGGAGAGGGCGAGAAGCTGGAGAGAGGGAGAAGAAGAGGTGGTGAAGGCGAGGGAAAGGTGAGGTGAGGTGAGGAGAGAAAGAGAGAGATTCGTAACGTAAGTGAAGTGGGTGAAGGATATAAGAAGAAGATGTGGTGGGAGTGATAGGCTATCTAATAATGAGCTACCTCTATGTATACTTGTTCAGGTAGGTACCTCTGACAGTCTAAACTGCCACAACTGGGACACAGGGCTAGAACCAAGACAGCGAAACACCACCAGCGAGGTAAGGTGACCACAAAACGATCGGAGCAGTACCTGCCTTATTGTTTCCTGCGGCAGTAGCCCGTTAATGGAGTGGGGTGAGCAACACATGGGAATGAAGGGAAGAGGCAGCCATGACCATCAGAACGACATATAGAGGAGTACCTACTTGGTAAGTACTCTATTGTCTTTCTTCCCCAAATTAGAACCGGTCCAGGTAATCTTGACTGGCAGATGAGGGGAAAAGATACTCAAGTCCAAAGTCTCTCCAGAACCTCAAAAATGCCCCCACTTCTCTTCTGCATGGATCTTGCCCCGGCTTAAAAACATCAACTGTGGATGGATATCTTAGCCGCTTGGGCCAGTTATTGCCGGTGGTCTTATTCAAGGTCTACATCTTCTTTTATTATAGTATCGCTAATATTCCTGTCGAGTAGAAGATATGGCAAATATCACTGACCTGACGTTTGAGAAGCAAGATGAGCAGGCCGTTCATTGAACTGCTAGCAGGTAAGACAGGAGTGTGGTGTAATACCAAGTCATTCCATGGGTGACATGGAAGTAAGTGTATTGAAACGGATCGTAACTCGGCACGAGGCAGACACAAACAAGTAGCAATCCTTCCGGTTTGGTAGTATCTCGCAACCCTAGAATGTACCTTACTCTATCGTTTTTGAACAGATATTTAATACCTACAAATGTATACTAGTATTAGCTTTCTATGTTAGTCCCATGTAGTATATAGCACCTCTCTTATTCAAAGCCAACCAAGAGTCGCATCTGACAGCTACCTATGTACTGAGATGGCCTCGTTGTAATCGGTTGTTTTCCATCTGACAATAGTCGCACATAGTAATACACACACAATGTCAAAGTCCAGGACTCTTGGCATATCTCACTAACCCGCTCTAGGAAACAAGCGAGCATGCACCATCCATCTCAAGATTTTGGCATTCTTTTTGTTCTGCTCTCAGAAGCCCAGTATTCCTGGCAACCTGGTCATTCGGGAGTTTTTCTTTTATCACACCCACACGGCCCGGAGTGGGCCACGGAGGTTTGACTTTCGTTTCTGTTAACGTCCAGAACGACTTGCAGCACGCACATCTTTTTTCATTGAATGCTGTGATAATCAAGGGTCAAGGGGGAAAGGACCTTGACTAATACTTCAGATGGTTTTCAATTGACCGCGATCAAGTCATGGTTCAATCACAAACCTACCTAGGGCTCGTTATCAGAGCCTTAGGTATTGGCCGATGGTCATATTTCTTGATCACCAGGCTGCAGCTCTGGCTCGTCTAACATCAAGATCATACTTCAACCAGGATAGGCAAGCCATTCTCAACAAGTTCATGTTCTCAAGTTTCTGAAGCGACATGTTGATCATCACGCCGCTTTCCACTTCATCCGCTTTCCCTAGCCCGAGGTCGTGTAACGGTCCAGCCCCGCATATCATCAATAACGTGCTGGCTCGATTGCTGTTCAGCAGCACGGACAATCCTGGACCAATGCTTGCACATCACACATTGTCACTCAAAGAGTACAACTTGACTGTGACTACGTCTAAGAAGTGACGCCCACACTCTACATCACCTGGCCGCAGCTATTGCCTCTGGTGATTGGCTATATAATGTCACAGCCTGTGGAGCAACGCTGCTGCAGACTGCATAGGCCATCAAGTGTCACTCTTGGATAACACCAAACCCCTGTCGTTCTGTGTACACATTGACTCCATCGACTACCATCAATACCCTCGAACTTCTTGTTCAATTGAATGCCGCCCAACAAATACGTTTTTTCTATGTACTGAAAGTACTAGACCTCCCTCAGATGTATCGTTTCGGTGACTCTCATCGTTGTCGTAGCCTTTGTTCATGTTCTATCCAAAAGTTCTTGCATGCCTTGTGTCCCCAGTGATCAACCCACCACTCCCCAAAGCTGTCCTCCACCTCAACGTCCACCTTGGCCACTCTCTCCTCTCTCTTCAACCCGCAGATGATACAAGCCTTAGGGGCTGTTGGCACCATCTTGGCTGTATGCACCTGCATGTTTTCGCTAATCTCAGGAACCTTCAGAGTCAGGCCCTTATCGGCCGACTTGGCCGCAGCAACTGCCGATCGCAAACGACCAACTTGCTGACGCCATACAGCTATTACATCAGCAGCTTCACGATCCTCGCGTGCAGCCTGTGTTTTGTCGACTCCTGCTAGTTTCATGCCCTTACTTCCCGCAGCTGAGATTGACATACTCTTGGCCAGGATCTTGTCCCGATGCCATCGTTGTTTGCGCCCAGCAATGACGCGCGCTGCTGTTTCCGCTAACAGAACGTAGCCCTTTAAAAACTCCACAGCTTTCGAGTCCGACAGAATGCGCTGCTTGATGGATGCACTCTGACCAGACACAGGCTTGAATAGAGCAGTGCCGGAATTCAAGAGATCAGGAAATGCAGAGAGGATGACCGAAGGGGGTGGGACGTTAATTGGCGGAGGGGCATCCCCCTGAGAATCGCTGTGCGATGGCTGAACACCATCAACAGCGTCCCAATCCCAACTTTCAGGTGCTGTTTTCGTGCTGGTGGTTACTTTTTTGTTGTCGCTGGCCGAAAAATCATCCCAGGCATCCCATTCTTCTTCTTGATCCTTGAATTTGGCTGGCTCAGGATCTATCGGGCTTTCGAAAGATGGCCACGCTGTAGCTGGAGTTGCTTCTTTTGGTTTATTCACTTCCTTTGGCTCAGCAGAAATAGGCGTTTTTATAGCCAGTTCTGGGAAAGGGTTACGGTCCTGGAATGAGGGCGATTTTGGAGCTTGAGGATAGTTTGTAGCAGTAGCTCCAAACGCCAGGGGCCCAAGAAGCTGGGCGGGTGGGGTTTTCCTGGTTTGTTTGGGGGGGATCGGAGCTGGCTCATCTAAGGAAAGGAGATCCATCAACGGAGGGGCCGGTGTTGACTTCATGGGAGCAGCTGTGGAAGCCGGTTTAACCGTAGTTGGAGGGGGGACACTTTCAAAGTCTCCGAATTCATCGTCTTCATCATCGTCTTCATCTTCAGCGACTTGTAGCTCAAAATCTTCAGCATCAAAGAGCACGCTAGGGTCCTCCTGTGCAGACGGCTTGAGCTTTGCTTTCATCCGTGGATGCGGGGATTCTTGATGGACTGGTCCTTGCCCCCAACCTTGCGTAAACTGTGACTGCGGTTGCGCCTGTGACTGAGATTGGGGCTTCGAAGACTGAGGTTTGGTGGCACCGGTAGGATTTTGCAAAGCCTCAAGATCAACAAGACTATTGGACATAAGGTCCATCGTTGAAGCCCTTGTAATTCTAGTTGGCGGTTGTTGCTTCACACCAGGTGCTCGTTGGGCCACGGCGGCAGCTGAGACTGGATTTGGTTTGGGCCATGGTATGGATGATGTGTTCGCAGAGATCGGCGTACTACTTTCACCTGTGTCCCAACCTGAAGCAGAGAATGGAGCAGGGCTTGGAGTCTGAGCAGGAGTCGCATTGACCGTCGGAGGTTGCGATGGCTCAGCTACCTCGAAATCGCCCCATCCATCGTCGTCGTCGTCATTCGTCTCCGCCGGCTTCGACGGGATCGGGGCACTTCCCCATATGTTCTGCGTGTTTGTCTGAGACTGAAGACCTGACCACGGCTGGCTGTTCACTGGTGAAGCATTGTTGGTATTCCCCAAGAGCTCAAACAGATTCTGCGTCTCGCTGCGTTGCAGCGGCTTTGGCGGCAGAGGTGCTTGTTGCTGCTGCTGCTGCTGATGATGTTGTGGCTGTGGTTGAGTTGGTGCAGGTGTTGAGCTACCTGAAAGACTATTAAACTCGGCAAATAAATCTGCAGACATGATGTAGTGCCCAGAGAGGCATCACTCTGTGATCACGAGTCACAATATGTGTTATATATAAGGAGTGTTGAGGCTAAAAGGGAAAGGTGTCATTCGATGAACTGAACGTCAGCTCGTAGATACTAGGTAAGGTTTTGGAAGCATGACACTGCACGGGCTACCTTTTGTTGGCGGTTAGCCCCTGAACTTGCAGGCGACTTGGGGCCTTTGAGGCTAGGGCCGCTGGGCTTGGTCACTGAAGTTTGTCCGTCCGTAGGCGGGGTGCACCCCTAAAGAGTGGGGCCGAAGACGGAGACGGCAACCCAATTGAACTTGAAGCGCCGATAGATCAAGGTTTCGGGTTCATCCTCCGCCATCAAACATCCATTCCTCACTAGGTACTAAGTTTACCGTTCAAGTACTCGCTCGCGATCTGTTGACTTAATATTTCGCTTCTTTATTAGTGTTTCTGAGCGATATGAGACCTCTCGAAGAGTCACTGTAGGTTGCGCCTGCAGACAACAGCCGTTGAATTCAGCTGACCCTGTTCGCAGGTCAAGATGGCGTGAAACACAATCTCAAGGCGCACACCTTGGTGATCTCCGTCATGCTGTTCGTGAAAACGGTCCATCAAGCCCTTGTATATCAGGCTGTCGTTCTCTTTGCTGGAAGGTGAGCCATTTCATCTCTCACCAGAATGCACCAACTGACATACCACTGTAGACTTTCCTACTCTCAACTGCTGCTGAGGGCTTAAGCTGGTCCCAGGTTCTAGATGATGGGAGGCAGTCTTACACGGAACAAAGGAACCATTTTCTCAAGTATATCAAGCACCCAGAGGCCCTTGCGGAACTGAATATTGACCCTTTGAATGAAGACCCAAACGTAAGGTGTCTGCATATTCTAAGAATGGACAATGAACTGACCCAAACAAGTCGCCGTGGAACACCATTCGTCAAGATGAGATTATTCGCGCTGAAATACAGCAAGATGTCCAGCGATTACCCGATGAGGCATCCTACCACGAGGACCAGACCCAAGCGACTATCTTGGATATCCTCTTCATGTACTGCAAACTGAACCCCGAGCGAGGAGGTTACCGACAGGGTATGCACGAGTTGCTTGCACCCATTCTACATGTCATCGAGCAGGATTCTGTGGATCCCTCGACCTTACCAGAAGATATTCCTTCCGATGATGCCCTTGCCAAAACTCTCGATCACTCGTTCGTCGAGCACGATGCCTTCATTTTATTCTCCAAACTGATGGAGCGTGCTCAATCGTTCTACGAAGTCACGGACACCGCCACGACACCAGGAACCTCATTGCGACCTTCAAAATTTCCAGAACAAAGTTCTGCCATCGTGGAGCGAAGTAAATTTATCCATGAAGTCTGTTTGCACAAAGTCGATCCTGAACTGGCTACCCACCTTACTAACATCGAGATCTTACCACAAATTTTCCTGATGTAAGTCTATGGTGCTCGATCATAATTTGCTAGCCACTAACGTCGAACAGTCGGTGGGTTCGATTACTCTTCAGTAGAGAATACCCCTTTGAGCAGTTCTTGGTACTCTGGGACACCATTTTTGCCGTCGACCCGACTCTGGAACTTATTGATCTTATTTGTGTTGCCATGCTAATAAGAATTCGATGGCAGCGTAAGTTCTCCAACACATTCTGATTCAAGGACTCCAAAAATCCTAAAGCTGACATACTTTCTAGTATTGGAGGCTGATTATTCTGTCTGTCTTCAGCTACTCCTTAAATACCCACCTCCCTCAGACGCTCACGGTCCTCATACCTTTGTTGACGACGCATTGTATCTTCGAGATCATCTCGATGAATCGGGTGGCTCATCTCTCATTATGAAATATACCGGAAGGATGCCTGAAGTATCTTCACCACCTCAAACATCAAGAACTGGTACTCCGAGTTTTCGCAGCTTCAATTCATTCAAACAGAAGATTCCGGGCTCTAGGTCGCAGGTGACATCACCTTCGCGATTCATTCAGCAACAGGGCGGTATGGAAGCGCTGTTTCAGGGGGCCGCCAAGGGAGCTAAGGGTGTCTATGAAAGAGGCGAAAAGCTGGGTATCAACCAGGCCGTCAGAGATGCTATGGGTGAAATCAAACGTAACATAAACGAGGCTCGATCCGCGCCCCGATCGCCGCAGCCCTTGATGGGCGAGGGGGAAGCAGCTAGGAGTTTGGCAGCATTGGAAGCCCGGAACCAGCATTTGTCAGCCATGCTTGACGAGACGGTGAACAGCCTCAAAGCAATATCTGCCTCCAGTCTGGAAGACAAGGTTAAAAGCCTAGAGCTTATTGAAGTTGCAGCGGCAAAAGTGCAATTCGTCAAGATATACTTAGATGACTCTTCGATGGAGGTTCCGGTTCTACATTCACCACCACTTGAGGAGACTCCCAAGGAAGTGGTCGTGGCTGAAACGACAATTGTCCAGCCGGAGCCAGTACCAGGGGCACCCACAGAATTGGACATTTCTAGTCTGCAAATATCTGAACCGAAGCCAGCCCCCAAGGGAGAATCAGTGCAAACCTCGGGCTCTGATCGAATCGAAGTAGTCACGACTGACGACAGTAAATCTGCACGGTCTTTAGCCCCCTCACGCCCGGGCCCTGTTCCTACCCGATCAACACTGGCACAATCATCCTTTTCATGGATGTTAGAGCCAGACGAGTCTGGAACTCCAAAGCCCATGGTATCATCAAACAAGTCACCGCCGCCACAGCACAAAAAGAAAATATCGAATAGCGCCAGCCGTGAAAAGAACGCTTTCTTATTTGGCGAGGTTACTGAGAACCGCAATCCATTGAATTCGGATGAGATATTTGGCTTGGAACCTATTAAGAAGTTGAAGGAAACCAAACACGATGACAAGGAGAAAGAATAGAGACGGATCAGACATCGAGATCTCACTAAGAACATAAACCAGTTGATCCCATAACTAGAGCACATATATTTCCACACGTCTATATACAACAAATAGATTCAAGCCCCTGTCCAAATTCACTTGCTAGAACAAGCGAGTAGCATGATAAGAACAACGGGCTATTGACCAAAGACGTGGCCGGCTGAAAGGGGCCATTGTTCTGCTTTTCAGTTGAACTTGCTATACAGACTATAAGCATGGAAACGATTGGGACTAAGGATGCGAACAAGGAATAAGTCACTGGATACACAATCCTTGTGTCGCTACTATATAACTCACCAACTCTAACTTATTAATCTCTGCCGCATGTTTTTAACATGAAGCAGCACAAAAAAGCACTGTTTTTTACTACAGCTTTAGAACTTGCCAAGATAACCAAAGAACATCACGAATACAACCACTCAATCGCCACCATAGATTTCCTGCCACTGCACTTCCAAGTGCAACTTGGTTTTCTTATCACCGTTTCTCGCTGGCCGGGAAACTCAGAAGAACATACAGACACCAAAGGTATGCAACAAACAGGCCAACCAATCCCATCACCTCCCAATTCTTTTGATAGAACTCAGGTAAACGCTGACATCTATCCACATCTGAAGCGAGAATACCTCGTTCGAGCGCAATGGGCTATTGAAAAACTTGAAGCCAGACTGGGTGGTCAAACTCCTCTGGAATCCCTGGGAGACCCTCGACGAGATATACGATCTACCGTTTCACTTTCCGCCTGTACGGTTGAATACGATGGACATATCCGAGAGCGTTAGGCTGATAGGTGTGAATGGATCGGCGTCAAGATGACATCTCCCAAGCTCCAAGCTAGAAGACTGGACCTGCAAAGACAGTTGAAGAAGATCTTGGCCATTCTCAACAAGGAGTATCTCACTGTACCAAACTCGGAGGCCCGCCTCAAGATCGCTGTATATTTGCACAAGTATATTGCCACTCTGGACCAAATGAAGGCCATTGCAGCCTTGATTTGGACGATGGACACTCTCTTGGGTGACGTTCATCCTCGTCACTGTGGTCCTAATTCGATCTATTCTCTGGGTCTGCAGTACAGCAATCTTGTCAGGAGCTCTCCGCTTTGTCTAAAGACGCAACTGGATTCCGCCGTTGACATTCCGGATCCCTGGGACAACCGTCTGTCCCCCAATCGATGCCCACTGGAACTTCTCGTCCACCCTGGCGAGTTGAGAGAGGAAGAGTATACCAGTGGTGTTGATATGATACTCGATGCTGACTCTGTTGGCGAACTCACCCGTCGTCTAGATGTTACAATTTAAGACTTCCAACGTTATCCTCAATCATCGCCTGCTTATAGCTTCTAACCTTGTGGTAAGTCTGGTTAGATGGCCATTTGGTTCAACCAGCATTGCGGAACTCTCGACTTTACTGGGATCAAACACTGGATTTCCTTTTGCGTAGGTGTCATTTAGCTCAGCATAGGGGAGACCGGTATTTCGGTTCACAAGTCGAACCCTGGGCTCAGATGCAGCTCTGTTCTCTCCCGCCGCCTCCATGAGGTTGGGCTACAGAAGCTTGTCGATTACCACAAATCAACGCCAAAGACCTCCCGAATGCCGGATTTGCAGTATTGGTACTCCGACGGGCGGGCTTTTTCACGAGTTTCGAGCTCTTATATGAGCTTCAATGGTTCATCTATCCTGCTGTTCTGGGAAGGTTCCCCTTTTACAGTTTACGAAAGGCGATTTGCACCTAGCAGCTCTGTAAACGGCAAAATTCTTTTTGGAGTTGAGCTTGAATTCTACACAGCAATTAAGCCAGATATCAGTAGTCAACCCAGCCTACTGATTGATCCCTCTCCCGAGGATGACAGACAAATTGGCAACGGTTCTACCAACAAAAGAGCTGGCCGAATAGCAGAAATGATTACAAGCAAAGGGCGGTTGGCTTTGGCAAGGTCACAAGTGCCCCCTGACACACCCGGTTGGCGAATTAGCCTTGCTAAGCATGGTATTGTCCCTATTCCTGGCATCGATCCCGTTTATCAGGTATGGACTGTTTTGCCTGATTACTCTGTCACCAACTGGGAAGACTGGGCAGGCTACGCGGGAGTGGATGGGATGGAAGTAGTGAGCCCTGTTCTGGCAGACATACCAACGGACTGGGAGAACGTCGTCGATATGTTGAGCATCCTGCGAAACAACTTCAGACAGTTTGTACCCAATTCATGCGGCTTCCACATTCCTGACATAGGCAAGTGCTGCATCAGTTTAAGCAAGTGCGACTTCGATTCTGCCGTTGGCACAGAGTACAACGGGACCGTCAAGTTCCGTTTCCTCGAGGGTACACTAGATCCGGAACTAATTGTGCGTTGGGGTCAGCTCATAATAGCTCTTGTTAGATTCGCTAACATAGCTCCCCTTAAGGCGTGGCCGGTGTTTTTGAACACAGTATTACAATGCCAACCATCGGGTCGTTGCGATATCAGTGTTCTGGGATCATTTCTTGGTCTTCTCGGTCTGAGCGATGATTTCAACTTTTAGGCTGACAGAGTCGCAGCAATGTCAGAGCTGGAGGAGCACAAAGGTCAAAAAGATCGACGCGGTGAACATCAAGGGCTCCTTTCTCGAATTGAAGACACACAAATCAATACCCTCCGTAACGATCTATGCCAGAGGGAGATAAGTCTTCCATGCCTAGCTGCTAAAAAGGGTGTCGTCCAAGAGCCTGGGACCGCACAGAATCCAAGCAACCTGGAGGAGAGGCTCGAGAGGAAGACAAAGATGCACGCGCATCTACCTGATGCGCGTCCTTGAAATAAACCGCTCTGAAGCAATATGAAACTTGAGGCAGCAGTACTCAATTGCTGACGTAGAGTAGAGGGAGTGGTAGCGTTCGTCAAGGAATTTCTTTCAGCTATTATTAGTACTAGGTAAGTGAACATGTAAGTTTTCTTTCTAGCACATGCCTCTATCTGTGCCATAAAAATCGTATAAGAGTAAGTAATATTCGTACACTGAGCCTTCTGACTGGTACAAAATAAAGATGGATGTAGTAACAGGAATCACAAGGAGTCGTCCAACATGAAAGACTGAGTTTCAGCCAGCATTGAAGGTGTTCTACGAAACTGTTCTGGTATTTCTGCCTTTCATCATGTCATACCTATCTTGGGTGGCCATCGACAAAATACAGTCTAAGGTTAAGGCGATATCATTAATTAAGCCTGATTGCAGCTGTCTGCGTTGTAGACCAGCAACTCAGGTCTCAGTTCACAGTATATATATAATGTACGCTTATCTTTATGATATTGGGTATCTATTCTCACCACCTATGCTGGTGAAGTATGTTCTCTCTCAATAATATCTTCGCGCGCCAATGGTCGAGTTCCGTCGTTGAGGACCATTGCCTCTCGATGTTGCCGTCGCAGTCGTTGCTCTTCGGCAGAATGTTCCCTTGTGCGCGTTGGTTGTTGTTCCACAAGCGACACGTTTCCTGCCTCCTCTTCGATCTCCATGATGAGGTCCGGCAACTCTCGAATCCTTCTTCTGGAGTTTTCCTTGTCCAATAGCCCTGCCTTCTCTAAAGCCCGGAGGCCTCGTCTTGACTCCTTAATTCGATCGACAATCTCGACAATTCTATTCACCTTGAGGGCCATGTAGTCCTTGAAACTGCGGCGTCTCTCTTCAGGGGTAGCGCCCCAGTCTTGCTTTGCTAGCCATTTTTCAACGAAGCGCGCCTTGACCAGCATACTGGCACCGTACTTATTGACGAGTTCCAAGATGAACATGAGGCAGAACCTCTCGGCCATATCGCGGAGGTAGTACTCGTCCCAATGGCTGTCGGTGAGGTTAGGTCGCTCGACATCGTCTAAACTCAACTCTAAAGATCTGACCAAGGCAGAATAGGCCTTGGGGTTGTTCAATTTAGAAAGACCGTCCAAACCTGAGGATATTAGCCGAGTTTTTCTGTTAAGTATGAATAGTCTTACCAATAGTTTGTCCAGTAAGAAGGGCCATTGCTCTCAGGCATCGCATCCTCTCATCATAATCCGGTCGAGTGATGCCAAAAAGAAGTGAATGGGTTGTCTCAGGATCGTTGACAGCTCGATCACATAGAATTTTGATCGCGACCTCTCTAATTGAATAGTTCGGGTGGTCCAGTAGCTTCTCAAGAGTTTCGAGCTGTAACGAATCTTCGGTGTCCTGGGTGATGTATTGTGTCTTTGGCTGTAGTGGGGGAATCTCATTGTCGTCGCGAATGATTGTGAGTGCAGTGAAGACGGTACTAACGACACCAAAAGTAGCGAGACCCAACGTCAAAAGAACCACTCGCTCATCACGGGCAAACTTGAGGAGGTTGTCAGCCCATCCCATTTTGACTAATAACTTTGTTTGTTGAGTTCATGCTTCCTAAAGAAATGAAGGATCAAGAGCGCGGCAGCTTAAGCTGGATACCCCAGAGCTCCTGACGTAAGTTATTCTGCAAACTTTTACCGCCTCGAGGGCATCGAATCGGGTTAGACTTCCCGTCGATAGCGATTCGCACGCCAATGATATGTACCTTACTCAGGAACACAGTTGTAGGGAATTGTACTTTAGTCTTTTAACCTTGATATTCTGATAGTTTATAACGTGTATATGGTGCTATCTCAAGGTACAAGACCCATTATACTAGTTTTCTGTACTAATTTGTCTTCTTAACCAGTAGATGTCTGTCATGTATTGTCTTTTCAAGGAATGGTGCATGTTCTAGTTATGCCACTTTGGACCCACCTCATTTTAGCCCCATATCTGATAACGATAAGACTGTACTTTTTTTTCTATCGCAAAAATCCATGGTCGCAGAGCGCAAGTCGAACACTACCATCAGCATATTTCATCGCTATGGCCGGCTCACAGCTCAAGCGCCTCAAGGCGTCCCTCAAAGAGCAGGGAATTGTCGGCCCTCAGCAATCCAAAAAGCAAAAGAGACGCAACGCTCAGGATGAGCGCTCTCGCAATGACAAGAGACTCCAGCGAGGAGTTGTACTGGAAGGCATTCGCGAGCAGTTCAATCCTTTTGATCTGAAGCATGCCAAGGGTCCCAAATTCGAGGTCACCAGTAACCGACCTACTTTGACTGCTGGAAGCATCAAAGGACGACCTGGTCAGGCCAAGGCAGCTAGCGAAGAGAGGGTAAGTCGCATAGTTACCACTACGAAGCAGCCAACTAACGAATATGATAGCGTCGACAAACACTCCTGGTTGAAATGCAGCGTCGAAACAAGGTCGGTGGAATTATCGATCGTCGATTCGGTGAAAACGATCCCACGATGGCACCAGAAGACAAGATGCTGGAAAGATTTGCCCGAGAGAAGCAGAGAAGTCACAAGAAGAACTCCATGTTCGATCTGGAAGATGACGAACCATCAGAGGGCTTGACACATATGGGCAAGTCCCTTAGTTTTGATGCTAAGGACGATTTTAAGGAAGACGACCTGGAGGAGGATTATGACAGTGATGGTTCAGTACGTGAGCGACAAAGACTGAAGCGTATTCGTGCATTGGCGGCGGAGGGGAGCGACGGAGAAGATGTCGAGAATGACGAACCTGAACGAAAAAAGACGAAGAAGGAGGTAATGGAGGAAGTTATCGCCAAGTCCAAACACTACAAATACGAGCGCCAGGCTGCGAAGGAAGAGGACGAAGACCTTCGAGAAGAAATCGACAAGGAGCTCCAAACCATCCAGTACATGCTACACCACATTCGGCCAGATGGCAAGCCCCAGGCTGATCCTGCCGCCGTATCCAAAATTGCAGGCGTCGACCGCGATGCGTTCGAGAAGAATTTCGATCTCCAAGTAAAGAAGCTTGCTCAGGATAAGAGGGCTCAGCCTGCGGACCGTACTAAGACTGAGGAGGAGAAGGCTGAAGAAGAGTCTCAGAGGTTGAAGGAACTCGAAGAAAAACGCCAGAAGCGCATGCGAGGAGAGTCAGTCAGCGATAGTGAGGATGAAGAAATCAACAACAAGGGCAAGAAGCCTGAGCAAGACGAGATGGACCTGGACGACGAAGACGATTTCGGTCTTGGTAGCGGTATCCGTGCTCGACCTACAGCCACCGAACTTGGATTCGACGATGAAGACGATTTCATCATCGACGATGATCTTGTGGCCAGCGGATCTGACGTGGAGCCACTCGACGACAGTGACGATGAATCGATGGAGGATGGATCTGGCGAGGAAGCCGAGGAGGATGATTTCACCAAGGGCCTTCTCAACGAGGAAGAGAGCCGAAATCCTGTCTTCGATGCCGATTCGACCACAAAGGCCTCGGCGATTCAGAAAGGTGATGAGCAGGGTCTTCCTTATACCTTTACGTGCCCCCAGACTTGCGATGAGCTGAAAGCTACTCTGGCTCCATACCCGACCAAGACCTTCCCTACCATCGTTCAAAGAATCCGTGCCCTCTACCACCCCAAGCTCAACAGTAAGAACAAGGAAAAACTCGGTAACTTTGCTACATCTCTAGTCGACTATATCGGTTCGCCTTGGGATCCAGCAACTTCTGCTCCCTTTACTGTGCTTGAAAGCATTGTGCGACATATCCACTCTCTTTCAAAGATGTTTCCTCTTGAGATTGGCAAGCAGTTCAGTCACAACATTGAGGAGATTAGCACATCAAGACCATTAGACTTGGGACCTGGAGACCTCGTTCTGCTGACTGCTGTTGGTACCGTTTTCCCCACTTCCGATCACTTCCACCAGGTTGTCACCCCTGCTGTGTTGACAATTACACGATACCTGGGTCAAAAGGTACCGCAAAGCCTGGCACACTATGCCGTCGGCGCCTATCTCTCAACCCTTGCTATCAGCTACCAGAAGCTTGCAAAGCGCTATGTTCCTGAGGTTATCAACTTCTCTCTGAACACCCTCTGTGCTTTGGCGCCTGCTGCTTCTTCCAAGCAACTCGGAAACTTTCCCATCCACATCGCTCCCGCCGGTGTCCGCACCGAGGGTGCAAACAAGACCAAGGTTCGGAAACCAAATTTCTCGGACTGTATCGATGGAGAGTCAAAGAAGTCTGAAGTTACTGCCAGTAAGGTTGCCATTATCGACACCACAACGTCTATCTTGGAGGCGGCCGCCGACTTGTGGACTGGAAAGAGTGCATTCCTGGAGACTTTTGGCCAGGCTAAAAACGTTCTAAAGCATCTCAACGGCAAGACTTGCCGACCCCAACTGCCTGCCGCTTTGAACGAGAGGGTTGAGAAGTTGCTGGTCAAGTTGGACCGCATGCTCCAGGTAGCCCAGCTATCGCGTCGCAACGTGGAACTCCACCACCACCGGCCCCTGGCGATCAAGACCTTTATCCCCAAGTTCGAGGAGACGTTCGACCCAGACAAGCACTACGACCCAGACCGCGAGCGTGCAGAGTTGGCCAAGCTCCAGAAGGAGCACAAGAGAGAGCGCAAGGGTGCTCTGCGGGAGCTGCGCAAGGACGCCAACTTTATGGCGCGGGAGAAGCTGCGCGTCAAGAAGGCGAAGGACGAGGCTTACGAAAAGAAGTACAAGCGTCTCGTTGCCGAGATTCAGAGCGAGGAGGGCCGCGAGTCGAATCTGTACGAGAGAGAGAAGTCTGCGAGAAAGAAGGCCAAGAACAGGTAAATGGACATGGCGGCATAGGCATAGGCGTAGGATACCATATACTTATTCATATATTCATTTGTGTATCTTTTATGATCGTTCGTGGTAAAAATTAAAGCTGGAAGAACGTACAAACCCCGTTCGAGGCTGTTGATTCAAGATCCATGGATCTAGAGCTGTCTTGCACGTAGCCATGAAGTTTATTGGTGACGATAATCAGTTGATTTTGGACTATGCGGTGTATACGCCTTGTTGGATGTTAGATGACGAAGCACATGTATAACTTTTTATTCTCCTTGAAGGGCATGTCTACAGTAAAAGATACAGATACGTAGTACTAACCTAGCCCAGGCCTGAGCTTGAAAATTAGTGGGGCCTACTGCAATCATAGCCTGGAACAGTTTCCATAGATGAACAAGAATCTTTAATCATCACAAGTAACAATCGACAACAATAATTTCATCTCTAACTCACGTCTCTCAAACAACACAACTCATAAAAGCGATCTGGATCATGAGTAATGAACAAAAGAATGGTGCGGGTGCGCCAGATGAGGACGAAGATGACTACATGAACATGTCCTTTGACGACCCTGTATCCGTCAAAGAGACATCACTGCAGCGCACGCAACGACTTAAGCGTGAATCACGCGCACGAGGAAACATCAAATCCAAAGAGCAGATTGCGGAAGAGGAGGAGGCTGCTCGCGAAAAGGCTCTCTCCACTTCACTTCTGGATGATGCAAAGGCCAAAAAGAGCAAAGGTTTTGCCATGATGGCAAAGATGGGATTCACGGGCGGCGGTCTGGGAAAGAAGACAGATGAAGGTGCTGCTCCGGGCCGGACGGAGCCAATCAAAGTCAGCGTCAAAGATGACCGCGGAGGCATTGGCTTGGATAATGAGAAAAAGCGAAAGATCAGAGAAGCGGCTGAAGAAAGAGACATCAAAGCCGCCAAGATGGATCCCGATGAGTATCGCGATCGCGTACGGAAAGAGCGCGAAGACGCGAGGCTGGAGAAGCAGTTCTTTGCAGCTCAGCGTATGGCAGAGAGAATGGACGATGAAAAGACAGAACTCACTGGCTCTGGAGAACAAGCATCAAAAACAAACGATAAATCTGGCAAGGCAACACCAATATCCTCACGCCCTCTCAGATCAATACCGCTTCTGTATCGTGGCCTTGTGAGACACAGAGCAGAAGCCGAGCGAGACAGGCGTATGCGATACGATCTTGAACAGTCATTATCGAGACTGCCTACGTATGAGGATGACCAGGAGGATGAAGACGACAAGAGGGCTTTGGGTAAGGGACAGACTGTGTATGCTACAGCTGAGGATTTGGATGAAGAGGACGATGAGTTGGATCAGTTCAACGAGATTGAGATTGGGGAGAGGTTGAAGACGGTCTTGGAATACCTAAGGGAGAAGCATCAGTATTGTTTTTGGTGCAAGATGGTGTATCCTGATACTGAGATGGAAGGTTGTCCTGGGTTGACTGAGGAGGATCATGATTGATCTGATGAGAGCGATACAGTGCAATGTGTAGATATGCATACAACCACAGACCTGACTCGGTGAACAATATCAAGCTGCAAGCAAATTACATATAACACAACATTGCCTGTAAGAAGTATATGCATTATCGCCCTGATATGCACAGCAAAGTGCGAGCCACTTATGTCTTATCCGCTGACTTGGTGGCATGCTTACCCTGGAACGGAACGAGTCGTCGTCGTCTCGGGGACATCTCAACAAAATACTTGCTACTTAATCGCATGTGATACAATACTTTTCTCAACGATGATCGAGTCATCTCAACAAATTAATGGTAAGTATTAGCTGACGCGTTGGACCAAGGAATGGTATTAGAGTTGAAATAGTTTTAATTTAGGATACGATATCGTCTTAGCTTGTCATTTTTTGAGAGTCATTGATCAATGATAACTCAAAGCTTATAATAAGTATTGTGCTTTTTTTATTATCTTTGCAATATTATATTGCCTCGGGAGAGATGATGACGCCTAGGGTTAACTCAGCCGAGCTTTTGTAGGTGTACGGTATCTTGGAATATCGCAAAGTATACACCACAAATAGGCAGCTCATATTAACAAACCTTAACGAAGTGTAATTATACAAGAGGGTATGATTCGGATTCTTCTATTAAAGTAACTCTTGCCTGGAATTTTACCCAACATGTGTTAGAATCAAGGGCTATTTGAGCGAGATACAAAAATAACGTTAGAATAGGAGTTAATCACACTGCTAATAGCTTCTTGTATTCGGTAGAGAAGAGCTCTGGCGACTAAGAATAATGAGACACAGAAGACTACAACGACTGGTCATGTTCACAACCATCTTCATAAAGATATGTGCACCAACGTACGGAAAACAGTGGCTACACTTCGTTGATCAGTGTTCGTCTACAGAGCTTTTGTGTTGTCGTAAACCTTCAAGCTTAGCTGCAACAAACACACCAGCTAAACTTTACTCAAGACTCATAAATTACAACTTAGAATCACATACTGAAAGTATGTATCAAATAGCGTTTATTATCCGCGCAGTGACATAGAAGTTCAAGAGTTTAATAACAAAACCTTGTGTCAAATATGGCCAAGAACCCCGGTGCTGATTTCTATATTGCACGACAGTCAACAGCGTTGACATAGGATGAGCGAAGACGGTTTATGACTGCAGCCTTTACCTTTGAAAGTTACTGTCTGACCTTCTTCAATAGATAGCAATTGCTGCGTAAGAGGAATAACGAATTCCGAGAGATGTTTTTTGACGGCCATCGCCATGAAATAAGTCACCAGAACGCCGTTGGGAGATTTTACTGCATTATGTTCTATATTCTGCAGAAATATCGGGAGCTACTATCAAGTGTTGCTGAGCGTCTTAAATCCATCCGCGGCAAGGTCTTACCATCATTGACTGACAGCCTTCGGCGATACTTAGAAAAGAGTTTTTTAAACTTAATGCAGGAAGGTTACGAGGCAAGATTTCTCAACCACCTTCACTACCTGGCTTCCCAGGGCTTAGAAATGCTTGCACGCCTCCAGAAAATGAGCCTTGAAGAGTTAACAGAATTCATTTTAACGACATACCTGGACTCCAGGGAGTTTGACTACCCCGCTGTTTCTATAACGGCAGAAAACCCAGACTTTTCCTTAGGAACACAAGAAGATGATCGACCTTGGCTTCCGTGGGTATACCTTGATGCCATCCTTGAGGATGCGTATGATTGGGAAAAGGATGGGTATGAAGAATGGGAGGATACTTGGAGTCGTGCGATTCCCTTCTGGGATCCAAGTGAGGATGAGTGTCCATATAGTGACCATCCATATAGTTCGTACTTTGTGAGTAGGGATAAGTTCTGGTTCCTATACCGAAAACGGGCAGACTAAGCCCAAGTAATCAATCTAAGTTGCAATTCAAAAGAGGCTATTTATATAAATAATTAATATTCAACTGTCGTATTTCAAGACCTTAGCTCCTAAACTCTTCGACAACCTACTTTGCCACTTTAACCTCTTCTACATTCGTTCGACACGTCTCCTACCGTGCCCATGACTACTTTAGAGTATAAAGATAAATAACCTTAAGAGCATATATTCTAGATAGCATAAAGTAACTTGATAACTCGTCACATATGCCTTGAGCGGTCAATTTTCCGATATGCAAAGGCGCGCGCACACGCTCACTGCCTTGGGCCGGTGAGCTCTCTGCGAAGTTGCTATCGCCAGTGTCGGCTATGATTAAACTCTCGTCATCATAGTTATGGACTCTATATAGAGAAACCAGCTCCTTGGTTTGTCGAGGAGATGGGACATTGTGTGAAAAGTATACTCGACCAATTTTTTAAGAAAAATGTTGATGCTACGGAACTTGGGCTTGAGATAGTGTCAGCATTGGCAAACGAGGCTATGGCAAAGTCTAAGGAGTGTCGGGATAAAGAAGAGTCTGGCCGGGACAAGGGTAGTAATACAGTATTGAGAACGATAAGAGTCCTTTTAAATGTATGCCTGGCTGATCGAGCATGAATTTTCCAAGACAGTAATGGAATAACCGAAACTACCTTCCTTTCCATCTTAACTTTCCAACCCATGCAGCCCATCGTTGAACCTCTTCCTCCTCGAGTAACAAATCAACAGTGTAGTAATCCCGAGCGAGCTCCTCGTGAGTCTTAAAGTTATGCACAAAGCGATGACACGCACCACACAGCCAGGCTACATTCTGTAGATCTTCCTTGCGGTGCCAACTTCGCTTGACGGCCTTTTCGTGCACGAATCTTGGGATGAGATGATGATATGACAGAGGAACCCATGATCGAGCACAAAGCTCGCAGGCATCAGCACGAGTGGAACGTGTAGCGGGAGGTGGCTCGATCAGGGGAGTGATGTACGAGGTTATGATGGGAAGTAGAAATGCCTCGGGAGAGGACGGGAGATGCGATGTAGTGTCTGGGTCGGCAGAGATAAGGTTGTAAGTTGTCAATGTCTCAACAACAGACGGTGGCAGGTTCAACATGGAGAGACTCTCTTTTGTGAGAGGCAGAGAGTACTGTTCCTGTAACGCCTCATCGTCCCTCCAGGTTCGATATTCCAAGGTCTGCAGCTCCTCTGGGAGATTCTCAAATATCTCTGTAGCCAGGTAATCCACAAAATCGGCCAGCTCTTCGGCGTCTCTCTCCGGGTTCGGAGCCGGAGTGGATGTTGCAGTGGCTGGAGCAGCGGCCGAGTTCTTGCGGCGCCGACGGCGTTTGGGCGGGTCCGGGGCCGAGGGAGCAGGTTGGAGAAGGGTAGTAGATAAACAATCCCTGAAGAGGGCATAGTTTTCGGGGGGTTCGTTGGTTGACATTGCCATGTGTATACCTTTTGGCTACTTCTGCTGTGCAATGCGTAGAGTGTTATTTGCTTTGTTACAAACGAGGCAAAAGGTGAAATAGGCTTAATTTAGTGACGTAATTGATTTCACGATTGTTCATGTATTAAGAGAATTGTTTTACAAAATAATTAATTCGAATCTATCGTTTATGTAAAGTTTATTAGAATTCAGAGAATGTTTTCGAATATGAAAGACATGCTTGAGTGTTGAAGCTGAACTCGACGGTGGTTTTTATTTCGACTAGTAAGCCGGCTGAGTCACTCGGTGTAAGTGGTTGGATTTCCTCGATGTGAAACCATCGCGACCATGAATATCCCTTTGAATGCCCTGGCTCCAAAGAAGGGTTTTGAATTAAGGAGATCGGCGATTCTAGACGTCCTTACCGTCTTGCTGTTGTCATTCGTAGCGCCGAGATCAAAACAAGTCCGAGCCGAACCGAGTGACTCTTCGGGCATGAATGCCATCACCGAATGAAACGAACGGTGTAGGATGAGTATATTATTGAAGCGCCAATATGTGCAGGATCATCACAACTTGCTGTGCTAAGTCACACGTGGTCAATATCTATGACTGTGCTGCCATGTCATACATAGCTGACCAAGGAGAAGAACAAGTGAATGATAGAATATGTGAGGCGAACATGACACTGCCATTCACCCCTACTGATCACATTTAACAACACGGCAGATGATTGACGACCCTGCGTTTCGGCGATCGACAAGATCTTCAGACCAGCAATAATGCCCCAAGCAGTTTTACATCTTGTTAGAGAAACTAACAACTAAGCTTGTTATCAACCTTGAAACCCCACGCAAAGGGTCAAAGATTGTTTGATCAAAGTCAAAGCATCATCATAGCAATAAGAGGGAGAGTTCAACGTTTGGATTTTTTACCAAGTTAAAGAAACACACTAGAACAATAGAGGACATGCTACAAGTCCATGCTTGATAGATGGTACTATGTACCAGATGCATACCGCTACTGATGGCACGTTGGTATCTAGGATATCCACAAATTGACAGGGTAAAGAAGTGGATATAGTACTACTTTGTATGAGGCCCCAGATATTACAAAGTCGGCCCGCCAAGTCACGATATTCTAGAAAGGAGCAAAGAAAAATCACGGGATTCATATGTCATACACGATACCAACTCAATGTAACAAGAAGTGCTTGCGCGCTTTTATTTTATTTTAGGAAATCAAGGTTATTTTAGGAGATGTAACAAAACACGTCGCGATATGTCGATCAAAAAGAAGATACAAATGTTTATATTTAGTTGAAACACAATGCGACAAAAGTCAAAGCGTTTCCTCAGTCCGTCCAAACCGTCATTCTGTTGCTGGCATCAACATGAAAAGGCTGAATAATGAGGCTCTGCGGCAGACGTACCATCAAGATTAGGTCAAAAATCAACATCTGATCTACATGCGATCTGGTTCACATAAATCAAAGTAGCACCGAGCAGGGCGAGATTGAATCACCTGTTTTTGTTATTGGCATACCCGGAAAAGGGCCGTACTTGTCAGGAGACTTTGTGGTGAGGGTAATAGGTATATTCAGGGTTTTGTTTGATAGCACAGAGCTTACAGCCAATCAAGAGGTTATGGAGGTGCCGAAGAGCACAGCATGAATGACATAACTCGACATGGACATGGACGGAGCGTTACATCCGATAGATATAGAGTAAAAAAAGATGAGATCGATAGAAACAAGCCTGACACAGAACAACTACAACCGAAGACTACGCCGCAAGCCAAAGACGGTCGCTATTGGTACCTATGGATAGCACACATCTGCTTTGACATACACAAGAGGAAAGGAGAATCCGGGGAGCCACGTAGAGTCGACTCTAGCTTAGTAGGTTAGCTTAGGTTACCAGGCTGATATGGAAACCCTTTATCCGCTCCGCTCCTCTCTCCGCAAAGCAAAGCAAAACAAAGCGTACCGCAGCGGAGAGTGGGGGGGTTTTACCTCCCAAATCTTTGGTGGCTGTCGACAAAAAGAGAGAAAGATGATAAGATGCAAAACAAAGTTGGAAGCGCGTAAGCCGCGGGAACAACGGGAGCTGATCCCATGATGGAGGGATGATGGGCTCCCCTTCCATGCTATTACTTATTATTACTGCAACTACAGGAGTGACTCGGCACAGCAAATAAACGGGAAGATCAAGCCAAGAAAATAAGACAGAAGAAAAAAAGGCCCGAGTGACAGACCAACAACGAGAGGTCTCGAACATGAGATGCAGTCAGAGAGACGGGTCGGCCTGATAGTGATGGATAAATGGAGCTGATATCAACAAAAACAAATGGAAACAAAGGCTGGAACAGACTGAGTATGGAATTTGACTTTGGTTGTACACAATGTCACAACATCTGTGCCATCTCATCTTACATACCTCTAGTACAAAGGTATCTTCATGTGAAAAAACTCGCCTCAACAACTTTCACAGGCCATAAAAAAACTGGGCTTGTTGTTGTGCCCTGACTTGCCCTGTCTCCTGTCTCCAGGCTTTCAAATGGTCCGTGCTACGCCTGTCCTGCCTGTAACATCCACTAGGAGAAACGCGAGGCACGCCATCCATGCCCAAGCTAAAATGGGAATTACCCGATGCGTGGTTCCCTGTGGTTCCCTCTCGTGGGGGCCTGGAGCCCTGTCAATCAACCACCTTGCTATCATGAGTGACTTTATTGGGTAATCGTCTGGAACCAGGGTCTCTCTCACCTCACTTAGACTGACCACAGAATGGATATGCCAAACGGAGCCCACGGAGATGGAGATGGGAGATGGCAGATGGATGCTTTTGAAAGGGGGGGGACACTATACTACACTACACAACACAGTCGGCGCTTCTCTTTCTGTTTTGGATTTAGTTTACTTTATTGGATAGAATGGATCTCGCTATTTTGTTGAAATAGTCTGCCATGTCCTTCCAGAAGCTGAGGTTCTTCATTCTAGCTCATCATCTTTATACAACAACCATACACTATCTACTATTACTACCTACTATCTATATCAATACTACCTACTACCTACCTACTTGGACGACACACATCAAAATGCCTTCAAAGCTACTCTCAAACAAGCCAAACAAGACCATCTACATCGATAGCATCGCCAACCTCTCAGACCCTCTCTCCTCCATGTCATCTACCTTCTCTCTCGTCTCTCTCTTGACCATGGCCTACCACGTCCGAACACCACAACCTGCCAGTCAAGAACGGCTTCTCACACTCCTAAACACAATGTCGCCAGCCCTCAGAACACATGCGGACCCAAGATACTCGCGCGAGGAGGTCCTCAACTCCTTCGTCCACTTCCTCAGCCCCGTCCTCAACGGCATGGCAGGCATGTTAGAGCTCCTCGCAAACGTCGATGCCTTCTCGCGTCCAGAAGACTTCCGTCAGTTCTGGAGCCTCGAGCAAAGCAACCTCATCAGAGACTTTGTAGAGAGTGGGGGACCCTTGCGGGGGATGCAGGGCTACGACGTCCCCTTCCTCGAGACTTTTGTCAAGGACTCGTCGTGCAGGATCGCTCTCGGAAGCAACCAGGGCATGCTTCTGCTAGTCCCTGCCGATGCCGAGGTCGGCGACGATGTGTGGTGGGACGAGGATGAGCAGCGTCTTACTGTCAGAAAGGGTGTTGAAGATCTCAACACAAACGCCGAAGCATACCTCGACAATGGTTCAAGGATAACCGCCATGGCTATCTCTTCTGCCACTTGAAAACGTCTTTTTTCTCATCATGACTTGACGAATTTTCTACTTACGGACACTTTTTCTTTTTGGGAAATGAGATGGGACTCGATTTGATATCCACAGCGGGATTTTTCTCTCTCTTTTTTTTTTCTTTCTCTATTGGGAACTGGATTTGCAGCAGAGGCTACTGCGCTTACTGGAGTACAATGGCGGCGCATGAGCGATGAGAAGATACACCTATCATGGGGACAAAACAAGTAGCATAGAGCAGCTATGGAGTTTATCTATCTAAGGTTTTGATGTGCCAGTTTTATGACAATTAAATTCGTCTCAGCTTTTCTTACATAAATGGCATGTGCAAGCGCATCCCACGTGCTTGAGCCACACTCTGTTCCCTACATCGATTAGTGTATAAGCCACTCACTTCATAGTTCCACCTTTCCAAAGCTGTCGTGCAGATCTAATCTACCTACCTAACCCAACCTAGCTCAGCATCCTAGCTGCGTCATCTTGTTTTACATCTTTTTCTTTTCCTTTTTTTCACGGCGAGCATTGGCACTCACATCTAATACAAAATGGCGTCGGACGAGGAACGTGGGACTCGGCCTAGCCGAAAGCGCTACGATGACGAGGATCACGAACCCAGAGACACCGACCGTCGATCAAAACACTCAGACCGCGATTCCGGACGCCGAGAGCGGAGGCGATCCCGTGACAGACGCGACAGGAGGCGATCCCGGACACCAGAGTCCTCCTCACGACGGAGGTCAAGAAGCCGAGATCGGGATCGCGATAGGAACAGAGAACATAGACGTCGACGGTCACGCGACGACAAAAGTTCACGACGAAGACCACGCGGCGACGATGACGAAGGAAACGATAAACGGGTCGCGAAACGCAGCCCAGTGAGACAGGCTGCTCCTTTACCTTCCCAGGCAGACTCCTTTGCTGTTACCACCGGCGAAGAGCCCGAGAAGCCCAAGGAGAAGCCCAATTTCGGAAGCACGGGTGTCTTGGCCGCAGCATCCAACTCGGTCACACAAGCAGATGGCACGACAGTCACACTCAAGTACTACGAGCCCGCTGAGGCACGTAAGCCTTCGCCGCGCGACGTCTGGAAGCTGTTTATCTTCAAGGGCCAAGACATTGTCGACACGATAGAGCTGAGCGCGAGGAGTTGCTGGCTCGTCGGACGGGAAATGTCGGTTGTCGATTTGCCCGCAGAGCACCCAAGTATCAGCAAGCAGCACGCCGTGATCCAGTTCCGCTATGTTGAGAAGAGGAATGAGTTTGGCGATAAGATCGGCAAGGTCAAGCCGTATCTTATCGATCTTGAGAGTGCCAATGGAACCAAGTTGAATGATGGCAAGATTGCCGACAGTAGATATCTGGAGTTGAGGGACAAGGATATGATTCAATTCGGGCACAGCACTCGAGAATATGTCGTCATGCTTGCACCACGGGATTGAGCATCAATCCAAAATAACCAAAACGATTGGCGGGCCAACCTAGCCAGGCCTACGCAAGCAGAAGCCTTATCATGGGACTGACCACCTGAAGAAGAATCGATGCCAAAAGAGCCTTTTGGAATCGATATTGGCTTTTTCATTACAGACGCCAAGAGTGACTGAATTATGTGACTCAGCTAAGATTTGGATAAGGACTCACAAGGAATTCGGACGAGTCGTAAAGACGAGATCATAAGGCTGGGATCATTCATCATGAACCATCATGAACACAGGCACAAACCTCGTTGGGGCCCAATTAAGCTTCAAACCTTGGATTTCGGAGACAAGTTCCACCTTAAACTTCTACACGGCTCCTCGGGGCAACACATGCTCCAGGAAAACAACATTCGGCTCGCCTAACGAGCAGCCGCATTACTAGCTTCACGCTGGGTATGATATGTCAGTATTAGAACAAGGGAGAAAACAATGGAGGATTTTAGTTATCTGTACATTTACGCCACATCTTTAGGCAAGGACATTTAGTATTTGGACTTTGATTGCATAGCGGCAATACAGAATCTTTGAAGTTTTGATGGCGAGTTGCTTCATACACCTCTGGCAGTGAATTACATATTAACATCATACAGGCTGAAGAAAGCTCTGTTGCCTCACGGTCAAGGTCACGCGTACTTTGAGATACCTATTTCAAGACTCATTTCCAAGAACTTACTTGAAACTTACAATCACAACTTGACTAAACCTTCACGGTTGGATTATAGAGTTCAAACTCCCCTTATCAAGCATTCACGCACTTGCGTTCGTCGATATCAAATTACGAAGGAGCAAAAAGTAAAAACATACAACAGCGGGGATTCGCTGGTCGTCACCGACCCAACTACTAATCCGCCCCTTACCAGCTTATCTATGGGAGAGCGGACGGGGAGTCTTCCATAGTCAAGCTGGTCTTGGCTCCAAAATTTGGATAATTCGCCGATGTTCATCCGGGTCCGTGATCGACACAGCTCCGGAAACCGGCCACGATGTTCTTACAGTATCTGCTGCCGTTATGTCCTTATCACCGTTATTGACCGTAACATCATCCATCAGAAACGGTTCTAGTTGCAATAACGGTGATCGATCCACCTAGGCTTTACATTCACGCCCCCTCCTTTCACGCAGCCCTGGTTTCAGCTCACCCACTAGGTCACGCTACCGTTAGTGCCAAGCTCCTAATTCTGATCGTGGATGAAATGTTTATATCTAAGAAGAATTAAACATAAACCCTAAATTCTGAAAATTAAGATATTGTTGTCTAGTGATATCATGTAACCATTTATAACGGTCTATATTTTTCTCGAAATTAAATCTCATGCTCTTAATTCTTGTGCTAGTATGTAGGTGGGTGTTTCGCTACCCAACTTCATCTCTCGCCTCACTTTATTGATTGGCTTAGATGATCACATGGGTGCCGCTTCTCCATCTGGGATTGAGCCAGCCTACCTTAAACCCGCAGCTCGCACACGAGATAAATTCCCATTGAACGCCTATCACAATCGACGCGCCCAGATTTTGGAGTTATCCCAGGTCAAAAATCATTATCAATATATATACTATATAGAAGACGTTGATTCTACGTAGATAATTTTGACATTAATGTTAACGGTAAAAATAACTCATCCTTATGCCTAGGCTGGTGGATGAATGCGGCACTATAAATCCCTAGTAAAGGCAAAGTCCTGCAGAATTTGCTTTTGTTGCCTGAAGCGAGCACCAAAACTTGTCGTGCGGCTTGGCGATAAGCCATAAAAATTTGAATCACCATCGTTCTGCCGCATGCCTAACATTATGACGTAGACGGTACCACCCGCTGGCTTGAACCGGGCGACCATTCAATCGCGACGTCGTCCCATTAGCTGACAATGGGTTTTCTTTTTTGTCTGCCATCCTTCAGAACAATATGCATTTTTTCCACCCTGCGCTTACCGAGATGAACGCCAGAATGATTGTTCCCATACAACATTCATAATTATTGTCGCGCAATCTCGATACACAATCGGACATCCCAGAATTCCAGACAGTCGCAAGATTGGAGAGCCACGAACAATGGGGCGACAACCAAGAAAGACTGGAGGCATCAAATTCCGTACGTGTTTGCCTGGTCGTTCGCCGGATTTGCTTCTATTGGGAGACCGGGTGTCCAGCTGATGTATGGCCGCCTTTCGTCCGTCGCCATTCGCTCTGCATTTGAGAGGCAGTTGCTTTGACATGGATTTCCTCGCCAATCATGTAGCTAAAACGCCCAGTCTGCTGCAGGTTACTGCATCGAAGCGCCGTGAGGCTGACTGACGGGATTCTCATGCATCCTCAGAGCCTGACACATGCCCGCCGCCACTGAGAACATGCAGGCCTTACTTTATTCCCCCTCAAGCGCGCCTTTGTTGCGATTGTCCATACAACATCACGTCTTCCTCCCCGCTCGACACCGATCGCTGACTATGTCGGATCCCCAGAAGTACACAGTCGGCTGGATTTGTGCCGTCACCACCGAATTTGTCGCCGCGCGAGCCTTCTTTAACGAAAAACACGACCAACTCGAAACAATCGCCGATAATGACAACAATACTTATGCTCTGGGGAAAATCGGGAAGCACAACGTTGTCATGGCCGTCTTGCCTAAGTCCGAGTATGGCACGACCTCCGCCGCCACTGTGGCAAGGGACATGTTGCGCAGCTTTCCAAATATTCGTTTCGGATTGATGGTTGGCATCGGCGGTGGTGTCCCAAGCGCAAAGCACGATATACGCCTTGGCGATATTGTAGTGAGTGCCCGCGGCAATGGAAAAGGCGGCGTGTTTCAATATGACTATGGCAAAGCAATTCAGGAGCATGCGTTCGTGACGACAGGATCCTTAAACCAGCCGCCACAGTTGCTTCTGACAGCATTGAGCGGACTCGAGGCTGAATACGAGTTGGAAGGGCACCAGCTCAGCGCCCACATTGATAGGGCATTGGAACAATGGCCCCGCCTACGACAGAAGTATTCTCGGCCACCCCCAGCCAGCGATAGACTCTACCGATCCGACGTTGTCCATCCGGACTCGTCAGACGAATGCGGTGACGTGTGCAGCGACGATCCCGTTTGTCTGGTGGATCGAAAAGAACGGAGCGAGCAGGAGGATAACCCTGCTATCCATTATGGGTTGGTCGCCAGCGCAAATCAGTTGATGAAGGATGCACTTGCTCGGGACAAGCTGGCGGCTAGTATGGATGTCCTGTGTTTCGAGATGGAGGCGGCCGGCTTGATGAACCATTTTCCGTGTTTAGTGATCCGCGGAATATGCGACTACTCCGACTCGCACAAGAACAAGGAGTGGCAGGGCTTTGCGGCAATGATGGCGGCGGCGTACGCGAAGGATCTCCTACACCAGATCCCTCCCAGCAAGGTCGAGGCTGAGAAGCGTATTAGCAAAATCCTCAGTTCTAGTTAGTATCATAACGCCAGCTCACGCTCTCTCTTCTGACTTGGAACAGTCGAATCCGCGGGAAATGAGACCAAACATGCGGTGATGAGCATGGCATCTGACCACCACTTCGCCAAAATCGAGCGATGGCTGTCCCCCCCAGATTATTCAACTAATGCCAACTTGGCAAGAAAACGCCGTCATCCTGGCACTGGGTCCTGGCTTCTAAAGAGTCCCGCCTTCCAGGAATGGAAACTTGGAGCACGTCAACACCTGTGGCTCTACGGTCTGGCAGGATGTGGCAAGACCGTTCTAAGTACGACGATTCTGGATCATCTTCTGCAAATAGACACCTGCACCACGCTTGCCTTCTTCTTCGACTTTAGCGATACCAGGAAACAGAAACTGGAGGATCTCCTACGCTCGCTGGCAGTTCAGCTTTATTATACCGGGAACGAAGCCGCAAGAAGACTTGATAGTCTTTTCACTTCCCACAATGATGGAGGAAGGCAGCCCGATACAACTGCCTTGTCAGCCTATGTCGACACAATGGTACAAATCACCGAAAAGGTTGTTATCGTCCTCGATGCTTTGGACGAGTGTACGACAAAAGGAGAACTTCTGGGTTGGATAAATAGTATGGCGTCCAGTAACGCCCAGCTTATTGTGACCGGCCGTCCAGAAGCGGACTTCCAACGCGAGATCCCTGACTCGTTTGATGAGTTTAACTGTATCCTACTCGACAAGATGGCCGTCAACGCCGACATCCACTCCTACGTTACAGCAACGCTTGAAAATAAGCCCGATTTCGTCAAGAAGGAGTTATCTCTGGGTATCCTACTGGAAATTCGTGACAAAATTGGAGATGGAGCCGACGGGATGTAAGTACTGGTGCAGGTTATTCATGCATTGAAATAATTTTCTGACATTTGTCGAAGGTTCAGATGGGCTGCTTGTCAATTAGAGAGCCTCGCTAGATGCCTGAGCCCTGCAGCCATCAAGACGACTCTAGAATCTCTCCCCCGTGATCTAAATGAGACATATTACCGCATGCTCCAGGACATACCGTCGGAATATAAGAGCGGCGCGATTCGGCTTCTGCAGTTTCTCGTCTACACCAAGAGGCCTCTGACGCTAGCAGAGGCCATCGAAGTGATAGCTACGGAAATAGATCGAGAGCCTCTGGGCTTCGATGTTAACGGCAGACTATGTCAAGAAGCTGACGTTCTACGATACTGCCCCAGCTTGGTGATAATCGCCAAAGTCACAGACTACGCTGGGACCGTAGAGGAACTTCATCTGGCCCATTTCTCTGTCAAAGAGTATCTTCTTGAGCAAGCCCAATTCAGCCTCGAAAACGCCAGCATTGCCATCTCTAAAACTTGCTTGACGTACCTTAACGATGCCAGGAGCAGTCACAGCACGATCAGACGTGATTTTCCAATGGCACGGTATGCAGCAGAGTCCTGGATGGGCTACGCCGTTTCGGCCGGGACTTCTGAAGACATCGTTCGAACCACGGTTAGCTTTTTACGAGACGAGACAACATTTCAACGGTGGTGTCGATTGTATCAGGCCGACCGCTGGTGGATCGATGAACCAGGACCTGCTAGGGCATCCAAATTGTATTATGCTTGCCTGGGTGGACTTATAAAGGCTGTGGGGAATCTGATTACAGAGGGAGCGAATGTCAATGCGAAAGGCGGCAACTACGGCAATGCCCTGCAGGCTGCCTCATATGAAGGTCACCGAGAGGTTATACAACTACTGCTAGACAAGGGGGCGGATGTCAACGCACAGGGCGGCAAGTACGGCAATGCTCTGCAGGCTGCCTCATCTAAGGGCAAGCTAGAGGTTATGCAACTACTGCTAGACAAGGGAGCGGATGTCAACGCGCAAGGAGGCGAGTACAGCAATGCTTTCTATGCTGCCTCATATGAAGGCAGACTGGAGGTTATGCAACTACTGCTAGATAAGGGAGCGGATATCAATGCACAGGGAGGCGAGTACGGCAACGCTCTACAGGCTGCCTCGTCTAAGGGCAAACTGGAAGTTGTGCAACTACTGCTAGACAAGGGAGCGGAGGTCAACGTGCAGGGCGGCTTATACGGCAATGCTCTACAGGCTGCCTCACATCACGACTATCGAGATATTATGCAACTATTATTAGACAAAGGAGCAGATATCAACGCGCAGGGCGGTTTATACAGCAATGCTCTGCAGGCTGCCTCATCTAAGGGCAAACTGGAAGTTGTGCAACTACTGCTAGACAAGGGAGCGGATGTCAACGCGCAGGGCGGCGAGTATGGCAATGCTCTACAGGCTGCCTCACATCACAACCACCGAGATATTGTGCAACTGCTATTAGACAAAGGGGCCGATATCAACGCGCAGGGAGGCGAGTACGGCAATGCTCTATATGCTGCCTTAGTTGAGGGCAACCTAGAGGTTATGCAACTACTGCTAGATAAGGGAGCGGATGTCAACGCACAGGGCGGCGAGTATGGCAATGCTCTACAGGCCGCCTCTTTCCTCAGCGACCTAGAGGTCGTGCAATTACTGCTGGATAATGGAGCGGATGTCAACGCGCAGGGCAGCAAGTACGGCAATGCTCTACAGGCTGCCTCATATTTCAGCAACCTAGAGGTTATACAACTACTGCTAGATAAGGAAGCGGATGTCAACGCGCAGGGCGGCAAGTACGGCAATGCTCTACAGGCTGCCTCATATTTCAGCAACCTAGAGGTTATACAACTACTGCTAGACAAGGGAGCCGATGTCAACGCACAGGGCGGCGAGTATGGCAATGCTCTACAGGCTGCCATAATTCACCACCATCAGGAGGTCATGGAACTGCTATTAGACGAGAGAGCCGATATCAATGCGCAGGGAGGCGAGTATGGCAATGCTCTATATACTGCCTTAGTTGAGGGCAACCTAGAGGCCATGCAACTACTACTAGATAAGGAAGCGGATGTCAACGCACAGGGCAGCAAGTACGGCAATGCTCTACAGGTCGCCTCTTTCCTCAGCAACCTAGATGTCGTGCAATTGCTACTAGATAAAGGAGTGGATGTCAACGCACAGGGCAGCAAGTACGGCAATGCTCTACAGGCCGCCTCTTTCCTCAGCAACCTAGAGGTTGTGCAACTACTGCTAGACAAGGGAGCGGAGGTCAACGCGCAGGGCGGCTTATACGGCAATGCTCTACAGGCTGCCTCATTTTGCGGCAACCTAGAGATTGTACAACTACTGCTAGATAAGGGAGCCGATGTCGACGCGCAGACTTTGCAGGCTGCCTTATATGGCGGGAACCCCGAGATCGTGCAATTACTTAATCTGAACGGCGCCAAGATGGTATCCAGGAAGCGATCTAGCTCGAAAAACGTCAGGGAACGAACGAAGTTACCTCGGCTTTAGACTCTACCGGCTTCGGTTGCACCTACGACCAAACCTCCAGCCTTTATGCTGTCGAAGCCATGGCCCCTACCTGTCATTCGTACCCAAGTAATTGCGTTGATGTTGTTATTCCTATCTTTATTCTACTCCAGTCGAATACAGACGCACGGGTAATTCCTTAGGAGGATTATGTTTGATGCATTGACGCATTGAGACGGCGTCGTGACAAGTTCGCAAAGCAGGCGGGAGAAGAACATTAGTCAGAATGGGATAGTGATAGACTCAGCACATATGTTAGGATTTACCTACAAGAGAGTTGAGAGAGAAAGAACACTAATGTACTTTCGTTGTTGGGCATAAACAGGAATTGCTGCGTTTTCAGACGATCCATGAGGACATGAATAAGTACAACGTCTCTCGACTGAAGAAGAAGCATGGTTTGACTTTGAAGAGTGTTTATTGGTTCCATTGATGGATTGAAGATGGCTAAAGAACATTAACTGCTTCAACTGCTTTCTAGGCAGACATCTCGAAAAAGATTTCAAGAGAGGAAGCTGTCCACGACAAGGCGGCGCAGAATGACCGACGAGTGTAAAACTTAGAAGGGTGATCACTTTGGGCTGAAGAACGTCGTGATGCAATACCTCTCAAATCTAAGCAAAGTGTTAAAAAGGAAAGCACAATACTTGCTTAGTATATATGTAGACTTAAGCTGCTTCTGCATAAGATTCTGCAGCATAACTTCTTAATGTTACGCAGATCCCCTAAATTTGTTTCAGGTGTCTAATGACGATACATGTTCACAAAGAAGGAAATTTGGGTATACATCTATTAGGAGGGGATTTCTATCCCACCCAAGTCTTCAAAGACGAAGCACCATTGGAAGAACTAGGAATGATGACCAACCAACACCTCATGTCTAAGAATCTTTCCTAAGTTGAATATAGCTCAGGTCTAAATCTTATTGACACATCTGCCATTACTCACCATGGCCTGACCCCTGCCGATGGCGTTTCGCAGTACGGTATGCTTATCAGCGGGCAGAACTGCGAAGAGACTGGACAGAATGGGATCCCGAGTTCTCTGGTAGGTATGGTCGTATGTACTAGCATTGAAGTTATCATAACTATTGTATGACGGCTGCTGAGTAGTTCCTACTGTTCAGACTTCTGAGACTAACTACGCAAAACCATTGTTGCCAAGAGATCAAGCCTACTACTTCACGAGAATGGAAATGTTTTTCTATCAAAGTCTAGCATGATCGTGAAAATTGATCAAAGCATATGTCACGCGCTTCAAATGGATGGCGTTGAAGATTCAGGTGTAAAATGAGGCCCTTGCCATTATATTACACGTTATTCAGGAACGAATCCTATCGTGTTATGCAATATCCAATGTCGAATCCCGGGCTCTATGACGAAAGAAGACGCGTTGGCTGTCTTGAACCGGCGAGAACTCAGCCACTACTTGGCGAGAAGGAAAGAGAATCTAGGTCAGGATGCTAGGGTCACAAAGACGGCGTGTTCTTTCCTCTTTAAAATTGCTACGATACACATCTGTATTGATTCTTATCCATTTGCAGATTCTTTGCGGTTGATGGATCTTTCCTGTGACAGTCTAATTACGACTCGGACAGATACAGTGGCTTTGTGACGTTATGATTTGTTCTTCGCAGGCATCGATCCTTCCCGAAGAGTCACGAACCGGAATTAAAGTCTGCGAATGGCAAGCAATCCCAGCTATCAGCCAATAAAGGGGCAGTTGAAAACCTACCGCGGCCTCTTTAGGCAGTCGTGACTTTTCTCGGGCAATGCAATGATAGCCATCTTTGGGATGAAGGACTACTATTTATATGCCAGTCACCCGCCTACTTTTGCCAGATTATGATGCATTCTTTCTCTCCCTTTCACTCTTTCTCTCACACACACAGCGACACTCTTTTCTTTCCTTCCATTCTTTCTCACTCTATTCCCTTTCATCCATGCCTAGAAAGGGGACATCCGTCGCATAGGACTATCAGGCCAAAGTACCCGAAAACGAAGGCCTCCGTTATCAGGGACAGTGATACCTGGGTCCATATCAGTTTGCCGAAAACATCACTACTGAATCGCTTCTCCAATGATACATCATGGTGTGTATAACAACCAACCAGCCCTCTTAATGAGTAACAGAAAGCTGGTCTCTACTCTAAGCTTCAGGGGACGAACATGAGTCTGAATGGCATAGACTAGCTTGCTAATGTTGTCTCTTATGCTTCGAGTGGCCAATGTTTCTGATACCCCGAGGCTAAGAGACGAAATTAGTAGGTCGGTTTATGCTCCTTAGACTATAGTTCTTAGACTACTTACTTTTATTCCCTAAGACTTAGGAGGCTAATTTATTTCTGAACAGGGGTCCAAAAACCGTGAGATAAGTCGTTACGAGGTTACAGCAGTCTATACACACCCGGAAGCCAAGGCCGACATCGTTCTTGTTCACGGACTCAACGGGGAGCCAGACATGACATGGACGAAGGATGGGACGTTCTGGCCGCTGGATCTGCTACCGACTGCACTCAGGGGCACACACGCAAACATTCTGGTCTACGGATATAACGCAGACGTCTACTCCAAAGGGTACGATCGAACAACCAGTAATCACTTTATAAACCAGCACGCTGAAGATCTCGTCACGAACCTCACGCTTCACCGAAGAAGTCAAGAGACATCCAAGAACCCTATCATATGGGTATGTCACTCACTAGGAGGCATTCTCGTAAAGAGAGCTCTACTCTACTCCCATGATGTGCGTGGAACTCACCTGGAAGACCTCGGGTCAATCTACGTATCAACCTTTGGACTAATATTCTTGGGCACCCCGCATGTAGGATCGGATACAGCAGCCTGGGGTGTAATGATTCAAGCTATGGCAAATGCGTTGATTCCGAAGAGGTTCTTCGACTCAGAGCCGGTGCTCTTGAAGACGCTCAGGAAAGACAACGAGACTCTCGTCAATATCAGCAGTCATTTCTTGGATATCTACCAGCGTTTTGAGATTCACATGGTTCGCGAGAATCAGAAAACGGATATAAAAGGCAAAAGGTTTATATCTCCCTCTCCCCTCCTTTCCCCTTCCCCTTCCCCTTCCCCTTTAACTATTACCTATTACCTTTATTTACAATTAACTCACCATTTGACAGGTTCTTCGTCGTGGATGCAAACTCAGCTGCACCTCCATTGCCAGGTGTCACCTACTACGGTATAGAAGCCAATCATGCTGATATGTGTAAGTACGATAGTGTACACTCACCGGGGTTCCGTAATATCGCCATTACGTTACGGGAGTGGATTGAGAAGGCACCTTTGTTAATCCAACGGCGATGGTGTATCGAGGAAGAGGAGGGTCGGAATCGGGCTATCGCAAGAGTGAACGAAATCATGAGGAGACAACCGAGTCAGCGCAGTTCACGAGTATCGCATGAAGAGAATGAACCCCAATTTGCGGGACGAACGTCACACTTCATTGAAGACATGCCAATACAAGAATACAGATGCAGCAGTCTTTCTCATATGATACAGCATGTTAGAAACATGAGTAAAGAGCGTACCGAAGAGAATCCTTTCCCAGGGGCCTCCTACGTCCCATCTATGGATATCGCCAATACAAACTGTCTCTACCAATATTGTGGACTAATTCATAGGTCAAGACACTCTGAAGCATCTCTAAACACGGGTCCCGGCTATTGGGCGCCAGATCTGCCCATTAACACAAACTCAGCTAGTTGCCTTTGCCCTTTACCTGGATATCCTCACCGATGTACTCTTATCACTGAGGGTACAGAAATGATAAGATCTAGATCCGAGGGGATCCAGTTTAACGGAAACGTCGGGTTTGGGCAATCGGAACATAGGAGCCCCCAGACTGTGCATCCCTCCGAAATCGAGTCACCGCCTCCCGAGAATCAAGATACCAGGCAGGAGGGGATGAAAAGTCAGCCTCCTGATTACAGCCAGTCTTGAATGCCGAAATGAGAACTCGTGTATTGGAGAAATGCAAGCTTGAGAAGAAACCCCAATCAGGGTACCAGAAAAATTGGCTGCTGAAAGTATAAGGGATGAAATCATTAGGTCAGAGTTCTTAGGCCGTTTATTTTTATATCCTAAAGCTTGGATGCCAACTTTTCTGGTACCCTCTTTTGTATCAATATTTATGGCGTTACACAAGAAGAAGGATTCAAAATTGCAGAATGTTTTGGTTTGCCAAAGACATTTAGAACAATAACAGCTGGTATTAAAGTCACGTCTGTTCGGGACAACGATCGACCGTAATGTGAACCTAGAATAGGGGTACCGTCAGTCCAAAATAGACCATGATTGAGTTCCTTGACATTGTTTTAGACGTGGTATCTTATAGTCTTGTAAGTTTAAGTCTGTTGGTGATTTGACATTGACCATCCAATATTGTGCTGGTTTCCTCAAGAATTAGACGTCTCACAAAATCGCCAGTCGTGATCAATAGAAGTTGTGATGTCGGGTATTCGTCTGATTCATCAACCTATAGTCGCCGCAATTCTACTCCTACTGCCACATAATTCGTTGTTCAACTCGCTCTTTAGCGAATCTTCATACCCTTGTATCTACAAAGTAGCAGTCCTAGCGACACCGTTCTCGACAATCAGCATTGGGGGCAATTCCGCAGGACTTTGACCATTTCTGTAACTCCATAGACGACTCACGTCCTTCACTCTGATCCCATGGTTCTCTGTCGCTTTCTTGAGTTTCTCGGAGACTCCATGGATTTCGATCGGAGTTGAGGCGTCGCCAGTCCCGAATCCCTGTGTTCCAGCCCATGATATCTCAAATGCCTCCCTGGCGTTGGCTGAAGCGCTGCCTTCCTCACCAACTTTAAATTCCTCTTCCATGAACTCGTTGTCTTCATCGGCGCCAGTATACTCCCCAGTTTCGGTGTTTTGCTTGAGTGGAAACATGGCGTTTAAATAGTGCTGGTTCATCTGATGTCCTCCGTGACGACCATCCGCTCGCGCAAATAATCTTCCCTGGAAGCGTGGGAGCTCTCTCGATTCCATTCTGTTTGTGGCGAAGTGGAGGATGCCCCAAATGGCAACGAAATCTGTGCCGTTTGCATAGTGCTCAACATGCTTAATACACCTGTCCTTTGCTGCAGAGATTGATCGCGTCGACACACTAGAAGATTCCTTCTTGACAGGGTTGCGGATTTTGGTGTTCGAGTCGAACTTTGTTTCCACAGGGCTGCTAGAGGGAGAATCGAAGCTGGATTCAGTCAAGAATGTACTCATGGCAGAAAGGGGGTTGAGGCGAGATAGAGTCTGTGAAGATCTGTGACGGTGAGGGTTGTTGAAGTGATTGGCCGCATTGCCAAAAGTGTAGACCTCTAGTTTGGACATGAGATCCTGTGGCAATTCTTGGAGTAGCCAGTCGAGAACAAGTCCGCCCTCGATTCCTCCTTGGGAGTGTAGGATGAAGACCACTTTGGATTTACTCTCGTCGTATAGGATGTCTTTGAGTAGTCTGAAGCAAGTCCTGACATCTCCAGTTGCGTAGCCAAAGTTCCTCTGGATGAGACATTCCACGACATCGAATATTATTCCAGATGTTCGGTTGTGAATACCGAGGACAGGTCGTCCAAAAGTCAATGCCAACCGGTTTAGATTCGATTGCATCCAATGTTCTCTGGGAAGTCATCAATAAAGGGGGTTCTTTTGAGGGTATCACGTTACGTACCCAACAGCAACGCCGTTCAAGAAAACCCACTGCTCATGAGCGTGCTCAGGCAGTTCCTTGGCATACTTCTCATCCGATTTGTAGGTTTCTTTCTTTCCGTTGAGGAACTTACAGAGCAGCCAGTTCAATACCATGAAGCCAGCAATACCCGCTGCAGCCATCCATACTGGCAATATGACAGCGAAGGGTAAAGCAAGAACGAAGACAAGTTGCAGGATGATGAGAATAACGTGCACGACGATGCAAAAAATGTTTTGGGACGAAGGGTACAGCTCATCAAATTCCTTGGACTTACAAGGATATACAGGCCATACCACCCAAGGAAGAGCCCATACGTAGATGAAGAAGTAGTAGATATCTTTGGCGACAAGTTTGAAGGGAGGGTCTGTGTGGGAGTAATCGATCACAGACTCCTCGCCTATCTGAGAGCGATAGTATTGAGTTGCACCCATGGTAACGGCGAGAAGGGTCGGTGGGTATTCAATGTGTTGTCATTTGTGAGAGGAGTTGGGACGTGAGAGAATATGTAGGTTGGTTGGACTCGAGGAGTCGGTTGAAACAACTGACGTTTATTGTCGCGTGATGGAAAGAGCAAACGGTAAATATATAGCATCCATGGGACAAGGCTGCTGCCTTTTGTCGACTCAGATCTTACTCTTTATAGAGTGCTCAGTCCTTTTCATCCATATCAGCACCCATAGAATCGACGGACGCATGCTATGCCAGGTCAGATGCCCCTCTGGAGGTGAAGAATGCGACGTCATCACACCAACTTCCGACTGGGATCATTGAGGCTTAGTGGGCTGGGCATAGCATCCATAAAGATGGAGATGGAAGCCAAGACGGAAGGATAAGCGAAATCTCTTGGGTTTAGCAGGTAAACTTTTTGGTGTTTTCCACTCGAATCGATGAGATGGTAGAATTCAAAGCAGGTAAGTATTTAGCCTCGAGATATTCCCGAGTAACTTTCTGAGGGCGTCCATATCTAAGTGAAACTGTTTTAGCGCCTCAACCGCTGAAGTTACTGCTACAGAGATCGATCTCCACTAACGATCCCCTGTATCATGGGACGGGAGTAACCGTCGAGTTTCCGCAGGGTAGGGCGGTCACACGACAGATATGGAATGGATGTCACATCAAAAATTTATTCAAGGTCTCTTCTCTCCTAGAAGAATGTAGTCTCTATATCATCAACAATCTGTACCTTGATGCAGCCATTCTTAGGGTCTGACGATAAAGTCAAGCCTTCAAGTGCTTCCTCTAATGGAAATATATGCGTTACCAGCTTCTTCACATTGACAAAACCTCCTTCAATGCACGCTATACCCGCAGGCCATGTGTCTTTGTATCGGTTGATGAATCGAAGTTGAATCTGAGGTCTCTAGTTAGTACCGCACAGCTCCATGAAATCGAGCACATACCTCAGCAAGTGACAAGTGCATGAAAGGTAGGTTGTTCATAATGGATCTGCCCACACCGACAACCATGAGAACACCACCGCGACGCACCATGAAAGCAGCCGAACAGACACTGCTCTCAATACCCGTGCATTCAAAAACAACTCTAGGCTGAACATACTCCGTCTCGCCAAATAACTTCCTCACATTTTGACCATTTTCCTCGTTAGTCTTAGTAGTGTCGACTTGGTAGGTTTTCACTGTAGGAACCAGCTCTTTAGCAAACGCCAATCGCTTGGGCTCCACGTCAGTGATGACAAGTGGATGAGCACCGGAGGCTCGTGCAGAAGCAAGAGCGAGAAGACCGATGGGACCGGCACCGCAGATAACGACGGGTGTTCCGAGGGTAATGGGGGCTGAGTTGATGCCGTGTAGGACAACGCTCAAAGGCTCTAGAAGAGCGCCTTCGGCAAAGGATACGCTGTCAGGAAGCCTACATACGTCAGTCTCTTTGTGTTGCAGAATGCCAAAAAGGAACATGTTTGTACCTGTGAAGCCACTTGGCAGGGTGGACTTTGTATCGCTGTAGAGTTCCGGCATAAGGGTAGACACCTGAGAACTGGACGTCTTCGCAGAGGTTATATCGACCATCCTTGCAGAGGAAGCAATGTCCACAAGGGACGCCTGGCTCGACAGCCACTCGATCGCCTAGAAATTCGAATGAGTATTTATGACTTCCACGGTCTTCTATGGGTGTCATACTTACCAGGCTTAAAGTCGTCAACACCCTCACCAACCCGAATCACCACACCAGCCGCCTCATGCCCAATAATACAATCGCCCTCGAAAACGAGAGATCCAATACACCCTGTCTTCCAGAAATGGACATCTGAACTGCCATAAGTGTCAGCTTCCGTAACAACTGCACACTTACTCAATAGCCTGCTTACCCGCAGATACCAGTAGCCTTGATGTGAAGAAGAACCTCGCCGGCCCGAGGTGCATATACTGGTGCATCAACTCTTTTCAAATTGTGGTCAGCTGTTACCTGCAGAGAGGGGTTCGGTAGAGGGGCCTGGATGGTTTGAGCATGATCAAGAGAAGTGCTAGTTTTGCGTTCATGGTTTGTGTGATTTGTGCTGTTTGTTAGCGGTTGAGAGGCAGCAAGGGAACACATTGTGGGATGTGTCACTGTCAAGTGAGGTACAAGGATATGATACAATATGGGAAATGGACGAGTGAGTAGCTTTGAAAGACGAGAAAAGGAACAATTTGAGTCACAGTCACCCTCATCGAATTTGCTGCCCGCTCATCAGCTGCTATGGAGGGCATGGAGCAACGCTTAATATTGCTCGTTTAAGAGTGTTGATGCTCTCCTCATTTTGGTCCCCACACCACACTGGCACAAGTGATGCTTAGAGTTGCCCTTTTTGGATATCATGATCAATAAGTCGATTCGGACTTGGATTTAGCGGTAATGCGGGAATAAAGACTTGAATCTCTGGAGATTTCATTTGCGTCAGCTCTTTCGCTCGCTGAAGCTGATGTTTGTGCAGCAGTGTAAGGTTGGAAATGGAAACGACCCCACTGAAACCCCAGAACTCCCCCATATTCTGTTTTGTCCCGCTATAATCAACCTAGCTCAGATGCTTCGACTTTCCCCATCTGGTGCGTGCCTCCCTTCGCAAGTTCGAATGTTTATTTAACATGGGGTTTTGGCAACAACCTCAACATGATAAGAACGGGGACGCCTCGAGTAAAGGGCATAGACGAAAACACAAGTTGATGATTATCTCATATGTACCCTGTTTAAGAGAAGAGTATATAGATAAATGATATAAGTAGCCTCAAGTCAACGACGCATCGAACGGTGATCACACGCTTGACATTTCCTTAAAAGAATGCCGAAGACCCCTTGAGCATCTGCCATACACTAAGTTGTCCATGGGGGTTTCTGTGCTTGGGGCACTTTCTTTTGCTTTTTTATCGATATTACAGAGTAGCATATCTATGTATAGTTGGGTGATCTTCTCGAAAAAGCACATTCTTCTATCACGATCAGCATCGGCATTACAATCAAGACACGGCATTGGTAGGTTGACGAGAAATTCTAGTCCCAGCATCTCGGCACGGAGCATCATCTCCTGACACATCCTACCGAATAGAAGAAGAAAAAGACGTTGCTTTTTACTTGAAGCCTTCATGACTCTGTCAAATTAAATGTGGATAGTCCAATATTAATAGTCGAATATCTAGGTCTAGTGGCCAAGCTACTAAGCTCACCAGTCTTATCAGTGTTGACATCAATATGCACTTGATAAAGTCAATCGCAACGATAGGCTCCAGGGATAGGCTGTAGAAAAAAAAAGTTGCTTCTCTGAGTCTTACCCACCTTGAATGTCTCATGTACCTTGCAGCTGCAACGAACCAACAGTGAAACATGCCCACTCCGTGAGAACCAGAATGCAGGTTTGTTGGCGCTAATTGCCTGTTCTTTCGAGATACATACTGAAGATGATTGCGGCATATGCATAGTACGCTTTGGTTTGGACTAGTTATGCGTTTCATTTTCTTGACAGATCAAAAACGTTATGGCTTGTTTCTTATTTTTGGAGGTGTCAAAGAAGGGTCTTTGCTTGAGAATGTCCGTGAGCCTCTGGGCTTAGCCTGTATCTTTGTTTGGCAACGCTTAGGGCAGCCATGTGTTATGGATGTAAGCGTACAAGTGTAGCCTCGATAGTTGACCGTTATCCCGGAGAAGAAAGCAGCCGCCGTGTGTATTGGCATTTGCATATGATCCATTGGATGCAACAACAGTATCGTCCGTCCACATGGTCTCGCAAGGGGTTAACCGTCAGCTGTGTTCCATCAACGCTGATCTGGAACATCGTTTTTGGAATCCCTGCCTTTCCCCCCTTTGCTTGTGATTTTAGGCAATCCTGCCGAAACGGAAGGGTGCCCGCGGCAGATGAAGATGCTCACGCGTATGTACTGTACTGCACCATTAGGATGTAGACAGGCGAAGCTAGGTAAGACAGGGACTAGGAAAAGGGGGCTTCCTTGTGGTTACAGGGTCCTGTGGTTCCTCTGTTCGCCGCAATGCCCAGCCCATTGGGACATATCCATATCCATCCCCGAAAGCTCCAGAAAAGAAAGAAAAAGGTTCGAGAAGCTGAGAAGCGAGATCGTGGCTGGTTGGCCGGCTCCCTGGATATTATCTCTTGTTTGAGATGGTGCCTTTGTATCCGTGTTGTAGCTGTGAGCTACAAATACATATCAGAGTTCATCCACTGACTCGGTAACGGACAGGGCTGGACCTTTTGACTTTATTTTTTCTTTGCTTCTGTCTTGATGATTAACATTAGTCTAGCTTGAAACCCAACAAGGTCTGGTTGGATGGATTTGCACTCTTTCAAGTTTAGGCTGGGCGGGTTTTGGCGCACATCATTATATTAGTGCTTGGATGGTCTCGGGTTGGCGTTTTCTATTTTGTAGGGTTTGCAAGGATGGAAGTGAACAGAGCATGCATTTTTTTGTTGTGTTGCAGTTTGCTAGAAACGTTCTCAAGTAGGTCGGTTTTGGGAGATTCAACTTCAGGTGGTTGTGGTGATGATATCCACTCCATGACTTGTCTGTCAGGTACCCGGTGAGGAAGAGGCGGGCACTAAAAGGTGGTAGGTACAGTACCTCGGTATACTGGATCGTGAACTGGAGCACAGGTACAACGCAAGCATACGGCTTTATCATCTATCAAAAAGACTGAGGTATAGTCTTGTTTCTTAAAACTGTCAGTGTAACCCTGGACGGATACGTTCATGTGCATATCTTTCACTTCGACGTTTCAGCAACATTCTTTCAGGCTTACTCTTGCTTGTGGTGTTCCTGAGTGGTTCGTACTAGACTGCTAACGTTAGTACTCGTACTTTCTCTATTGAGAGTCGTTAATTAACCCCAGCGTCTTGGGTTCTCCCCCTGCATCAAGTATCCCTGTTTATCACTCCTTAACGCTGGTCCACCATTGGGATTGATAACTCCAAAGGACAATTTGTAGCGAATAGGACTCCAGATTGATGGACCAAGCGTGATGGAATGAAGGTTCTTGGTGGTCAGAACTCAGGTACATTGACAGCCCAACTGCTAAGTTAGACTGAAATTCCCCAAGGCGCCGTCGAGAAACGAATTTCTTAGCATCAGCCAACTTTGTCACGTCACAATTCCTCGACCTACAGCACCAACCTAGTCAAAACCTTCCAACCCAACCGCCGACTGGTCCAATCCTTTGCGCGTGGCTTTTTTTTTTCGACCCATGCGGAAACCCGGCTTCCTTCTACTAACTCCAGCTAGCCTTGATTTGGTGAGAGTTGGTGCATTACGGTACGGTAGAGTGCCGTGCGCGTGGTAGGCCAAGAGAGAGGGTGTGTGAGAGACAGAGAGACAGCTGAACAAAAGCCTATTCTTTGACTCGACCCCCATCTTGTCACGATGCTCTCACCCTCATTCCCCTCCGCGTCTCCTTCTTCCAACGACAATGCTCGTCGTAAGACTCGACGGCGGCCCCATACCGAGTTGAACATTAACACAAACACATCTTCCCTTGCTTCCCCGTCGCCTAGGGAAAGGGATTCCATTCCTCTACCACGCACGCCTCCGCCTCAAGACTCAGAATACCGTAGATCCAAGTCAAAGTCAAGACATCAGAATACCAACAACCGGGAGCCTTCCAGGCCACCCGTCTCCAACCTCTACGCGCATGAGTCGTTTCTAGAGAACGCTACTCCTGTCGAGGACGACATGGACCGCCGCCTACCTTCCTCAAACAACCGCGATTCCCACGACCTATCGCTATCTCCACGAAACGTCACCCGAGACTCCCTTGTAGCTAATATGCTCCTGTCCCTTGACCAATTTTCTATGGCACAGTTGAGCGACAAGTACGGCCCGTCATCATCCACACCCGGATCACGTTCACATACCTTCGACGAGACCTCGTCCCAGTCTATCGCAGCCGAGCAAACCAGAAGCTGGGTGGCTTCCAATTCTGTCGCAGCCCCATCCCGACCCAACGGGCACCAATACTCTTACAGCTCAGACCTTGAGGGCGCAGACGATTCCAGTCGCATATCTAGTCGCGGCAGACGAAGCAACAGCAGCTCCAATTTCCAGTCCAGCTTCCCACGTCTAAATAGTGTTCGAGAAGGCCACAGAGCAGGCTCATCGAGAGCCATGCATTCAAGAGGGGGCAAACCTGGCAGCAGAAACAGCAGTATAGCTAGTGTCGACGCTGGCTATGCCCAGGTATTAGGGAGTCAACGTTACGGACGTGGGTTTGTGCGATCTGCGAGCTTTGACTACGGACCGCAACAGCAATCCTCCACAGCGCCAGCCCCAGTCGTCGAACCATCGTCGTTCCGAGTCGATTTCCCGAATAGTTACATCGACGACGAGTACGATGCGGCCCCAACCCCCAACGTCCCGGGTGGCCCACGGCGGCAACCGTCGATCCCCACGATGTCCAAAACCGCATCGATACCACCGCCGATACCACCCACACCTCTCGAGCCTCCTACCCTTGATCACAAACGAAGCAGTCGCTCTCTAAAGAGCTCATCCGGCCGCAAAGCTGCTGCTTCGCGGGAACCTGCACCCGCCATGCCAGCAATGGACCTTGATTCGGCGCCTGCACCCAATGTCGGCTATGGTAAATCAAAGGAGGCCGTGCACAGCGGCCCAACGCCTACATCACATGCAGCTGCACCCGTCAAGGAGCGTCCGGGTTTTTTCAGGAGGGTCTTTGGCTCCTCACGTAACAACTCACACAACACCAACGAATCAGCAACTCCCCCAGCACCCCAACTAAACTCTGCTGCAGACACAAAGGTGGCTGGTAATGCCTCGGCGCCGCCATCCAGAGATACGTCTTCATCACATTCTCATCATCCCGCCTTACAAAAGAAGCCTTCTTCCTTCTTCCGAAGACGTAAGAAGTCTGTCACAGAAGAAACTCCTCCCATCCCAGCAATGCCTACGGCTCCCATACCTACAGCTGTACCCAGCTTGACGCCCCAGGATCGAGATTCGAGCTTGCCTCAACACCCAAGTCCTGCCAGCAGTTTGCGCAAAGTTATGAACCCGTATATTCGAACTGGCCAGGGCGCCCCAGGGACTTCTGCTTCTCAAGGACCATCACCGCTCGCCGATATTTCCAATATGACGCCGGAGCGAAACGATAAGGCGATGGATCAAGAAGAGTACAAGAGAGAATTCTCCCCTGACTATTCGCCCAGTCCTAATGCAAGGATCAGGACAGTCAGGTCCGAGTCTAATGATCAACTTTCGAAGCGCAATCAGACAGACGGCACGCCTTCCCGTATCCCACCAGAGAGGCCCACCAAGACCATGGAGTCACGGAATAACTCTTTCCTTAATTTAGATGGACTTAGTGATAACGAAGATGAGAATGGAATGTTAGGGTTCGGCCTTGCCAACATGTCAACCACCAAAACTCAGCAGTCGGAAAACGCACCGGTCAGGAATATGTCTGGCAGGGGCCGTTCCAGAGATTCTTATCGACTAGAACAGTCTGATTCGGAGGACGAACTTGACCGCGCCAACCTGGCACTGCCTATTGAAGGAGCTCGAGCCTCTAGCCCGGGATCAGCCTCAACTGGGACAGATTATAAGTCTGCTCTCAGTGCTGCCCCCAGTGTGAGAATTGAAAGCTCGGCAGATCCTAGCCCCAAGGTTCTTGGTACCTTCGATTCAATCAAGAACAAAGGCATCGATGAGCCCGAGTTTGTCATTGGTGATCCGACTGAAGATGACCGCCAAAAAGCACAGAAGATCTACGATGGCAACGAGGATTTCATCCAAAAAGGAAAAGCTGCTTCGTTTATGGGTGAAGAGGGCCCGATTCGACAACGCACACTGCAAGCCTATATGGAGTTGTATGACTTTACCAACCAGAGCATTGTGCAGGCCTTACGACAAGTTTGTGGACGATTGGTTTTCCGAGCAGAGACCCAGCAAGTTGATCGTATCTTGGTAGCCTTTTCCAAGCGATGGTGTGACTGCAACCCCAACCATGGGTTCAAGGCAACGGGTAAGTGCTGGCCTGTCTTTCCCATCTGCTAAGCTAATTCATTATAGATGTCATCCATACGATTTGCTACTCGATTATGTTGCTCAACACTGATCTTCATATGGCCGATATTGAGCACAAGATGACCCGCAGCCAATTCATCAAGAACACGATGGGGACCATCTTGCAGGCCGTCGATGAAGCAGCACCTGATGCTTTCCGGCGCGCAAGTATCCTTCCAGACAAAAATGGCTTTCCAAACGGCGAGAATCAGCAGCAACCCTCCGAGCAGGACAAGAGATCTTTCAGAAACTCCTTCAGGCCACCAGCCCGTGCCGACTCTGGCACTCTGCCTGGGGAGGGTATTGAAGACTGTGGCCCGTTGGTCAAGTCACGCTTCAGCGGAACCAGAAAGGCTTGGGAGGAACAGATAGAGACTGTTCTCAAGGGCATCTATAACTCTATCAGAGACGAGCGGTTGCCATTGTTCGGTGCTGAATCTGAAAAGAACGCCAGCTTGCAGCCTTCCAATAGCGGTGGTCTCTCTGTGATGGGTATGCTCAAGAGGACTCCGAGTGTCCTTAGCAAGGCTCCCTCGGAAAGCCAATTGTCTGTTCGTGGCCGTATCAATGACAATGGTCGAGCCAACTCGGCCAGATGGACATCCAAGAGTCGATCCCGTGCCGGCATGAGTCGTACCGGCTTTTCGTCTAGCCGTACGAGTTTCGATGATGGAAACTCATTGTGGAGTCCCACGGCCTCCTCAGCTACTTGGAGCCGTCACTCTTTGGGCAGAACCCAAACATCTGTGTCTCAGGATTCCTTTGGTTCTGCCCTTCGTGGCGACTACCAACAATCAATTGGCTTTGCTAACGCATTGAGTCAAGCCATTATCCGGGATGAGGAAGTTTACGGAGACGGTGCCCCATCCATCATGAGCTCAGACATTCCGGCAACACAGCTCCTCGAAGATGAATCGCTCGAACTCGCCGGACCTCCGTGGGTCAAGGAAGGAATGGTTACCCACAAGCATCATCTAGATGGCGTGGACAAGAAGGCCAAGGCCAGAAACTGGTCCGAGGTCTTCGCTGTTATCCAGAAGGGGCAGTTGAATCTGTTCTCTTTCCAGCCAAACAAATCTGTTCGTGCGAGAAACCGCGACAGAAACAACCGTGGCGGGCCTGTTCTTGTCGGCGGTGGAAACTGGCAAGATAACGCAACGAACCTGGGTTCCTACAACCTGCGACAGACTCTTGCATCCGCCCTTCCACCACCTGGTTACTCGAGGGCTCGGCCACATGTTTGGGCTTTAAGCCTGCCAAACGGCGCTGTTCACTTATTCCAAGTGGGCACGCCTGAGATTTGCAAGGAATTCGTTACTACCGCGAACTATTGGAGCGCGCGATTGAGCACCCATCCGTTGACTGGTGGTATAAGTAACATTGAATATGGATGGAGCGAGGCCATCGTTAACAACGCCTTGGTATCGATCATCAACGAGACGGCCCCAGGCAAGACCTCCCGTCCCGGAAGCAGCGCAGCACAACACCACCACCGAAAATCGAGTGCCAACAGTGGAAGCTTCCGAGGATCAAGCTTTGATCATGTTGCGGGTGCTTTTACCAACAATAGTGGACGTGGCAAACTGCCTGGCGATCGCATTCACATTGCAGAATGGGCGCCTCCAACCCAAAGCATGCGTCCTAGCAACCAGGCAGAGGCAGAGCAACTTCAGACTTTGGATGCATACGTCAAGGGAATTGAAGCGGAACTTCAAACACACAACCGGCTCCGCAGTCCCATGCTCTTGGCGTTCACCCCCAGAGGCAGCAACGCTGTCAAGGCAATGGCCAACTGGGAACGCAAGAGCGCATATCTACTCCGCGAAATCGTCAAGTTCACGACTTATGTCGACTGTCTCCAACAAGCCGAATCGAGGAAGCAAGAGATTTACCATGAGAGAGACCTGGCGCAACGAGCTGCGCGAGGTGAACTCAGCGATGGCGACATGGATGTCAGTGGAGACGAAGGAGATGTAACACTGAGACCCTAAGAGGTCCATGTACGAACAAGCATACATACGCATCAGCATTTTCTTTTTAACGTACGCTGCATATCTGTTATTGGCGTTGTTTTTTATTTCACCATTTTCCTTCACTCACGATTACCAACCCTTAATACCCGGACATTGCGGTTCATGAAAACTATTTATTTTTACGGTGTACAAAACGGTATGGCAAAGAATGGGAAGACGGGGAAGAAGACAAGGGCGTCTGATTAATGCCAAAGTTTTTGGATCTGTATACATTAATACTCTTCTTTGCAATGATACTGCAACGATATATGAATATATCACCGCATATGAGGATGGCATATTTTTCCAGTGTTTTTTTGCTGACTATTTGAAGATGGTGTGAAGTTTGAGTCGACTCGGGTAGACAGACACAATATCTTGAAGAATAGCATTTTCCACCAATGATTTAACAAACCAGCTACCTAATTCAGCATATCTCTATTCTCTGATACTTGATGCCACTACTTTAGCAGACTTCCTAATTGAGTGTTGAGATAACAGATCTACGGGCACTTTTAAGCCTAACTAGGTAGTTAGTCCAAGAGAAAGGTCATGAGACATCTTGCCCAGACCAGCGACCTCTATAGATAAGCCATATTTTGAGAGTACCTACAGCTATTACTTACTATGTTGGATCCTGCAAGATATCTTCTCTGAACTTCTGTTGTTTATTTTACTTGTTATGTGATCCATGCTCCTGCTAGAGAGCCTACCGTACCTACGACGACCACTAACCGTTGTCAAATCATAGGTTTAATCTTGATCTATTTCTACGACATAACATCTCCCCCACGAATACTCCGTACTCTTCCAACTCAACGCCAAGGGCCCATGTCTCACGTCTCGGACGCCAACTTCCCCAAAAGGCAGGTTTACAACAGCCCAACCCCACAGCTTTTCTCTCGATACAGAAATTCCACCTGTCGATCGCCGGCACTACCTTATCAGCGTGGGAGCGTCACAGCCTTTGACTGGACCCTGAGTCTCCAACCCGGCATTAGCACGTAGCGAATAGACGCGCGACATCTGCCGGTGCAGCGATACCATCAGCACTGGTTGATGCTCATGCGCTACTCGCCTATCACGATGCCTCGTGCCTGAGAGATCAGCGGTCTTGGGTTCCCAGAAGGGGAGATATGTCTTGTTGTGCGCCGGATGTTTGTCCAACAAGGAAGGAGGGTGAATGCGCAACCTCTTGTGCATTCTCCGACGATATACGGACTGCGAGCTGGGCTGAAGAAGTGCGTCTGGAGTTGATTGGTATAAAGAGACAAGTACAGCGTGTCTGTGATACTGCTCACTCTTTGCATACCACTCTTCTTAGGTATCCTCTTCCTTCGGTCACCTCCTCTCTGTTTGTCCAGACAATTCACGATGAAGTTCTCCCTCGCTGTCCTCCTTCCCGTCGCTGGTGTTCTGGCTGCGCCTACGCCTGTAGGTCATCTCCATCCTTGAACAACCGTCAAATTTCTAACATATCCCAAGCCTGGAATTCCTAGCGACTCTACTGCCCGATCGCTTTTGAGTGGTCTCACTGTCTCTGCTCCCACCAACACCGACACTTACAACAGAGATCTTTTCCCCCACTGGCAGACATATGAGGGCGCTTGCAACACTCGGTAACTACACCTACGACGGCAAGATAAAGAACAAAACTGACTCTATTCATAGGGAATTCGTCTTGAAAAGAGACGGAACAAATGTCGTGACCAACTCCGCATGTGCCTCCACTTCTGGCACATGGAAGTCGCCGTACGACGGAGCTACCTGGACACAGGCCAGTGACATCGACATCGACCATATGGTTCCCCTGAAGAACGCCTGGATTGTAAGCCCCAAATACACTCTTGCAGCATTCGTCTTTCTTATGGATACTAACATTTCTGTAGTCTGGTGCTGCTTCTTGGACCACTGCCAAGCGAACTCAGTTCGCCAACGACGTGACAAGGCCTCAGCTGTGGGCAGGTAAGTCACCCGAGTCACCCGAGTCACCGATTCACACAACAATAGAGTCCGTCTAACAACTGTTCCAGTAACCGACAGCGTCAACCAGTCCAAGAGCGACAAGTCCCCTGATTCATGGAAGCCTCCCCTGACCAGCTTCTACTGCACCTACGCCAAGAGTTGGGTCCAGGTCAAGAGCTACTGGCAGTTGACCATAACAACCGCTGAGAAGACTGCTCTCAGCTCTATGCTTGACTACTGCTAGGCTTTTCCATAGTAGAGATGATGGCCCGAAGGTTGGGGAGTTGGGCATGGGTGTAGTTTATATACTGATTAAGATACTCTATGATACTCTTACAAACATTGTACTGTCCACGTTACTTAGGATAGATTCTGGTCTTGTTTATATCGGGATAAGTGTTTATCATCTCAGTTCCCTCGGTCTTTCGGGGACGCATGGATAAGTAACTATATAGTGCATGTCTGTTCCGGTTTGTCAAACGCTCTGCCCAAGCCTAAGGGTATTAGAAAAATTGATTGCTGGAAGCATAAGAGACGAAATTAGCAGGTCACTTTATGCTCCTTAGTATAGTTCTTGGGCTACATATTTTTTTTTATACCCAAGACTCGAGCTGGATCATTCACAACCATTCACAGTCAAAGTAAAAAGGCACAGGAGGGTGTGCTCTAGAGCTTTTATTGCCTATCTGTCATTCTCATACACTTGTTACATGTCTCATACATCATTAAATAGGGCGTATCTTCATCTGTGATGGTGTTCGCATTGTGCCCTAATGTAGCCGGTCTTGTCGCGGCTTCCTGCTTGTTCTTGACCCCGTTCTCGACGAAAAAAGAAAACCAAAAAAAGGACCGGGAGAATCGATAGGTCTTTGCAGGTCTTGATGCCCTGCCTTGTATTGGAGGATTAGTTGATCTGAGCTCGCTGGATCCTGGCTGCCATGTGTACAGACGCAGTTGCCTCGGCCTCTTCTTGTGAGACGCCGTCTTGGACCAAAGCTGTCACAAATGCAGCGCGGGAAATGCTGACATCAGCTTGGAACCGAGTCTCCTCTGATGGGCTTCTCTGAATAAAAGCCCTATTGAAGGGTGGTGCAAGGGCATAAGGGTGGCCATGGGGAAGGTACGGCGCATGGGGCTCATCATCAATAAAGTTGGCTGTTGCTACAGTTGGTGCATAGGCTCCGGCAACCTCCGCAGCATGGAACCGACCGCCAAGTTCGCTGACGAGAACCTTGAACCGCCTGCGGCCAGTTGAGTTGTCGGCCATCCACTGGATGGAGTGGATGTATGGTCGGTTGTAAGGGGTTGGGAAGGTATTAACATCGAGGTTAATATCAGCGCCATACTCAGTAACCATCCTGGAAAACAAGTTCTCTAGGGGTTTGCTACCACTAGCAACGTGGTAGTTGATGATGGCTTTAGTGATGTACCGGAGTACCGTGTTTCCATTACAGTCGGGACGATTCATCGAGTAGACAACAGGGCCGAAGCCCCAGGCATTAGTGAACCGTCTCTCTGCCGACGCAATGTCTTCAATATTCTTTTTGATGACACGGTTTTGTCCGTTCCAGTCAATGATTACGTTTCTTGCCACCATCAAGAGCGGAGTTTTGTAGGGAGCCTTCGTCTGTGGCATCATTGGGTTCAATCTCCTACCGAGAAGGTACTGAAGGACTTGTGTAGTTCCAGCCTGACTTCGAGGGTTACGGCCAGGGTTTACTTTCAAGGATTCGATAAATGCGAGATGGAGTGGGTTATAGCCCCTGTTATCGACGAAATGGGGTACTCTGTCGTTCACTCCGGGCCAGGCGTCGAGAAGGAACGTTTTGTTTTGTGCCTGGACAGCGAGGTGATAGATAGAGTACTGGTGCTCTGTTGCAGGGAAGTCCTTCAACTCAGGATATTGCTTGAGTGCCTTGTTTACCAGTCTCGACATATCCTGGGAGGGGGCGCGAAGTAGGAAAAGGTGTACGAGTGTCATAGTGTACTCAACGACTCTGGATCCAGGAAGCGGGCCATTTGGGTACATGAATTTCCCAACGAACGGGAAAGATTCCGGCCAGTACTTAGTCAAAAGCTTGCAGGTATAGGTCTCCTTTTTAACCAGACACGCAAGATTGGGTGCCCAATTCATATTGCCGAACATACTTCGAAAGGCCGGAAAGGAAGAAGCGAGGGTATCTCGCTCTTCGGTTGTCAAAAGGGCCCGGATGTTTTTGCAATAGCGCCACTGGGCACCAAGTTGGTGCAGTTTGATAATGGTGTCATACATGTTGTTAAAAGCAGCAATGTGAAGCAAGGTATAAGTACCTGTTTCTCGCACCTGCACCTGCGCGCCCTGAGGGTTCTGGGGGTTCTGGGGGTTCTGGGGATGGTCCCGATCAACCTCCAAGTCAAGCACGGAATCGACGCACGATTTGAGAAGTTCTCCGGGGTACTTGTTCATGATACTGATGGCCATATGATCATCGAGAAAAATAGCGTACTTGAGGCCTCTCAGCTGTTCATCCTCGACGTCCAGGGCATAGAGTAAGGTCTCGATGCTTGCCGCGAGATAGCGGCATGTAGCAGCCAGGTTAGCCAGGCTTCTTTTGTTGAGATACTTGGGGCTCTCTGCAGTTCTCTCGCCAAGTGCCTCAATAATCATATTGGAGAGTTCGGGAATGAAAAGTGGGTTGGTTTGAGAGGCTGAATCTTCAAAGGTTTCTCTCAAAACCAGGGATGAGCTGAAACGATCGTTGTCGGGGTCAGAGTCGGAGCTCGACATAATGAACTCTTTCTGTGTGTGATTTAGGGATAGATCTTGGTAGAAGGGAGTGATCAAGGGGAATTGCGATGGGTATGGGTATGGGTATGGGTATGGGTAGGTAGGGATGGATGAAGTTCTGTGATGTTGATAATCCACCCGCAAAAGGATGAAGAGATAGAAAGGATGAAAGATGATAAATCGAAGAAGAAGACGAAATAGATGTGAGTGACTTTTTTCAAAGCACGTAGGGCTAGGTGCCTCAAAGTCTTGTTGTTCTGTTGGTGAGGGAGAGAAGAAAAAGGAGTGGAAGAGGCCGAGCGGGAGATTTTTCTTCAGCACCACCAGTCGAAATCAGGTTACCACGGTACCGCACAGAACCGCATCACCAAGTCTAGAAGATTCCTCGTGACCTCATAACACTAGCATTAACCAGAATGACGAGTTCCGAGTGCCTACTGCCTGGCAGTCCTTATGCAACCTGGTTCTGTTAAACACTGACACCGGCACTGGCAAATATACTACCTCAAGGGCGAAAGACTGAGGAGTATCGGCTCCTAATGGTGTAGTCGAAGTATTAAATACGTATCGCGATTCAATTTGTATAACTGTAGTCCAGTTCCTAATTATGCAGCACAAGTGTATTTCATTCACAGTATTTACCACACCAAAGTCGATCCCCTGATACAATACTGCAATATTTATTGTCTAGAAGTATACCGAAGTTTATTTGTTCTTCATCCTTGTCACAATATCTATGCCTCCATCATCTGTTGCAATACATAGTGGCAGTGGCATGGCCTGTATCCAGGCGTTTGATATCCCACCACTCGAGAGTGGAGAGCTCGACTGGCAAACATGACACAAAACCAGTATAGAACTTCTCAGTCTAGAAGAAGTTGATGATATTTAACAAAGACACGACACGTGTTTTGCTACAAAATCATCGAAATACGATTTCTAGCTCAGGGGCTCGAGGCCCTTTGACACTCGAGCAGTAGTTCGCAACTGCGTACATTATGACACCTTTGGGAGCATAATTATACTCTAGAGTGACTTGAGATGTTATTCGGCAGTTTATTTTGTTTTCAAAAAGCTCAAAATCATGCGATCGATTGTATCGTAGGCTCAATGTGTTTCCACCAAAGGAAGCACGCATTCAATTCCTAAAGACTATGTTACTTCCTGTATTTGACATAGTAATCTAAAGAATCAGGCTATTGAATGATTCATATGTTAACGGCATCGGAATAGTTCATAAGGAATCGCTCGACTCTGTCGTTGATTTGATTCCGCACGCGACTTGATCTGTGATACCAAAAGAAGCCCCTGAATCGCCCCCAAGGCACTTGCACATCTACAGAAAGACTCGAATAAATCTAGGTATACAGTAGTACTAAAAGTCTCCTGAATGACTGGTCCGTGGCGTAGAAAAATCGTAGGCAAGGTCCGGTCTTGTGCTTGCCAGAGGGATCAACGGTGTCGGGCAAGGCTCTACGGGCCGCTGAATCAGACGCACCGTTTTAACGTGTATTTCCACGATATCCGATTCATGTATCGACTTTACTCGAAGTGTTGAGATTCCAGCATACGGGGGTTTTGTGATGAGCTGGGGAAAGGAGAAAAGGCTGCGGGCATCGCCAGTTAGTCGGCGACTGTAGGAGAGACCTCGCGGGGAGTAAGATCGAAAGGTAAGATATCGCATGATTCACATACTTCTTGGAATCCCGGGGCTTTTCTGTTCGTCGATTTCCTGTCTAATGAGACCTGTTTGTGTACCGCGATACACACCTGCCGTGTCGTCAAGGAGGGCATTTCCTATAAAGACCTATAGAAGAGACCAAAGTTATTAGTATACTGTCGATTCAATGTAATGAGATACAAAATGAATCAAAGAGATTGACGAGTATTGATGTTAAAAGAGATGGGAGTGCCCACTCCGCTTTCTACGAAACAAAGGGGAGCAATCCGGTGATAAATACCTGAACAAGCCCAAGTATGTTCACTACCATAGAGAGGTAGATCGGTAGAATATTTGATATTGTTCTAATATTGAACAAAGGCTTCTCAGCTGGTTGTATGGTGGGCGGGAGAACAATCCAGTACCTGCAGTTTAGTATGGGGCTGTTCATACAGGTGGCAGTGGAGGCTATGTTCCTACCGCACCAGACCAGCCAGTATAGCAAAGTACCTTGGTGCCTACATCCTGGGCCCCAAAGTTCCAACTTCACTCTTTGCGTCCTCCAAGTCTCGCTGGAGCTCTTGTTTCTACATCACAAGGTCGATAACCGATTGTCCTCTATCGAACTTATGACAAGATGTCGGTTGGCCGTGATCTCTCTACTACCGCCCTCGCCTATCGCTCTCATAGCCGCCCTTTCGACATTTTGACCCGACCAGACTGTAGAAATAGTCTAGTACATCCCAAATACTTTTTTCTTGGTTTTAGGTACAGAAAAATCGAAAGTCCCTGGTGTTATCTTTTTGGCGGCGAAGAGTCGTTTCCCTGTCGAACGATACAATCGGCAGCTGACCATAGCAGTCCTTCTGGATGCCTACTCGCTCCTTTATTTTCCAGATGCCTGGTTATGTACGTCTTGATCTGGCGTTAAGGTTGCTTTGAATGTATATTCTCCCACTCTTTCCGACACTCTGGCTGAACACGCTCCTTAACAAGAAGATCGCCAGCGGGAGTTGAGCCAGATCGGGCCAGGAACTCCTGATGTTGAGATGAATTCGTCTCTCCATCAGATCAGGAGGCCAGCGCTTCGCCTAGAAGAATACAGAAATAATCACAAAAGAGCCGTCGTTAAACCTTGTTGCTTTAGCTAACACGTCTGACCTACAGCCTATCGCAGTTAAAAAGGAGCCGAAAGCTATCAGGGTAAATGTCAGCTTGTCGCCTCATCAAACAGTCATTCGCTAACAAAGGCCCCGATAATCGAACGGTCTTGACGATCTATTCCTTGCGAGTTCCAAAAGACACATGATCTAGGTCGTCCTTTGCCAGCCTCAGAGGCTGCCCTTGGATATTGGAAAGGTTGGCCGCCGGAAGTGTCAGACACGAAATTATTAAGTCAGTTTATGTTACTTCGACCAGGCTTCTAGGCTTTTTTCTATTCTACTTGGAGTTTCGGTGCTAACCTTTCTGTTGCCTACTAAGTGCGAACAGTGCCAGGTTGTGATACATCGGGAGATGCGAAACCATAAGGTCTTACCCCTGTGTGGCATTCTTTTCTATGTAAGACTAGGGATATGCAGTCGTGGTGCTTCTTGAGTCTTGAAAGGGATATACGCGTTCAACAAGGGTACCAGACATCTCAAGGACGGTTGGCAGTTCCTCTGAGTGCTTTCTTTCGTTCGATCGTGATCTTAAAATGCTATCTCGACGACACCGTTCTCAGGTAAGAGGGTCTGAACAAACTAACAGCAACGTAGTTAATTCAAATTCCAAGCGAATCGGGGGAACGGCAACCACGGAATGATGTTGATACGAAAACGCTCAAGGTCTCTTGGTCGACCACGGAGCGTTATTAACTATATCTCAACATTACAGTCAGTAATTGTGTATTATCTCTTCGTACATATTGTGCTGACTGTGTCGTTCCTAGTAATACATCTCCCTGGTCAGACTGGCCACTGACATTCGCTGCTATTCGCGTTGTTGCCATTCAGTAGTCTCCAAGTCTCCTTAAAGCAACTCAATGTTTAACAACCATCCGTACTATACGGCCAGACACAAGTCACATACTCGCCGCTGCAGATACAATCCGAGTCTTCGCGTCTCCTCATATACATTTTCCGGGTCTCTCATCCCTCGCCGGGCGATGGAATTGGCTTTAAGTATGACAGAATCACGTTGTACATGACAAGGAGGCTGACAGTATTATATGTTCCCGAATCAAATAGGATGCCATGCTTTGAGCCTCTGGTTGATCTTAGACGACGAGTACAAATCGACTTCGATGATCCAGGCACAGACAGCATTGGAAGTTAGCACGACAAGGAATCCTTTGCTTCTCCTATCCCTAGCCTGTGAACTGGATATTCAAACTTGCTTCTTTTACATATTTTGAAACTTTGATAGAGGTTATCAATATCTACTCCTAGTTTGCTTCTCATATCATCGAAGGTCATGTTCGCACTTTCCATCGCCTGCCTCCCCTGCCGATTCTAGCTATCACTCTTGATACCGAGTATACTAATTGGATCTCCTAATATTATACCCTAGTGATACTCTTCCGATTCTGGCACAGCCTTTGCTTCAAGGGACATTTTGCAACTTCAATGTCTTTTACCAGCAACTATCCCAGAAACATCACGGGGTCGCCACACTGGCCATGACTCTCTTGCGGTAAAAGAGGACAGATAAATACAGTTCTATTGTCTCCTTCCAGGCTATTTTTGTCTCTATATGGATTTCAAATCACTTGAAAACACTTTGTTTCACTGGGTTGTCAAATTGCACAGTTTTCGGGAGTAGCATAGCAGAGCGACTTCCTCTTCTATTTGATCCACAACTCTTTCTTAGTTGCGATTACACGACAAGGTGTCTTACGGGGTTCAGAAACTTAGCTTTGAAGCTTTGCAATTCCACAAAACGGTGCCTATGCCAATGCTTAGCTAACAGTCAATAACAGGGGTGTTTAATACCCTTTATATAAACAACTTTCTTACCTTCTAGAAGTGCCAGTCGTGGTAAGTCGGGCCTAGGTCACCCAACTTGTCATTCATTTATGTAACTCTGACTTAGTCTCCTATAATAGTGCCTGCCGAGAAGTCTATATAATGCCGAACTAACGCATACTGCGACATAGTCTACGACTCAAGTCCCCCTATCTAATAACCACATACGTACATTTGGTACAAGCAGTCACGACCAAAGAGAATTCTCCGTAGTCGAGCTTAACTGCCCGAAAATTATGTCGACTGATATAGTAAGCCCATATGAGCAGCGCAAACAGCTCCTATTGGTTGGTCAACAGAGGTTCTAACACTTGTGCTTACAGGCTCATAAGAAGATCGACCGTCATTATGAAGTTGTCGCCACCTACGCATATCCAGCGTCTCAATATGTCGAAATTCGCCTGTCTGGTTCCGTTTAAGGAACTTTTGGTTGATCGACAGCTATATCTTCCCTTTGTGTGGTCATTACTATCTCTCATTGCATCGTTTGCTCGTCGGCTGATCATATACGACAGCGGACTATAATGAGCAGCACCAGGCTCAAACAGTGTCTTTGATCTCTGCTCACATGCCTAGATGCGAACAAGAATGCGTCTGTTCTTCCGTGGTGGTTTCATTTTAAAAATACCCACCAAGTATCTTTGGCATCACTATGATTATTTGTGATGTCACACAGTACAGGGTGGCCCTCGTGGCTGAATGGCGGGCTAGCCGATATTTTTATGACTGAAATATCTTTGAAGAACTCGCCCGATTAGAAGACATCTCTAATAATCCTTTTAAAGGAGTTCTTGCAAACGAGCTGAATTTTGAGATTGGTTACACTGTCCTCGAATCCAAGCTAAGCCACTCAACATGGAACCGTCGACAATAGAGCAACTCAGGACACACGTAACACCCTTCAAATCAATATCTCAAGATTCCAGTACAATCACGAAATACTTTGACAGTTTTGGCGACTGCAGAGTGTTACTCATAGGTGGTGCTTCTCATGGCACATCTGAGTTTCACTCTGTTCGTGCCGAAATCACGAAGTATATGATCGAGAAACACGGCTTCAGCATCGTTGCAGTTGAAGCAGATTGGCCTGATGCCGAGCATGTTGACAGATATGTCAGGCACCGACCGGGTCCAGGCCAAGGTGCAGTGGAAACAATACAGATGTCAGAGAAAGAAAAAAGAGAGCCACCATTCTTACGTTTCCCAACGTGGATGTGGCGCAACGTGGAAGTTCGCGATTTCGTCGAATGGATGCGGTCTTACAACTCTGGTCGCGAAGTCACAGAAGCCGCTGGGTTTTATGGGCTCGATCTCTACTCAATGGGGACGTCAATGAAAGCAGTCATCGAATACCTGGACACTGTTGATAAGGATATGGCAAAAGTTGCGAGGGGGAGGTACGTCAACCTGATGGACTGGATAGGCGATCCCCATGAATATGGTTTAGAGTCGTTGGCAACGTCTTTCAAGGGATATGAGGGCGATGTTGTTGCAATGCTCAGGGATCTTTTGAATAAACGGATTGAATACTCTGCAGCACTTGACGGCGGTGCTGAGTTCCACAATGGAGAGCAGAATGCCAGAGTTGTGAAAGGTAAATTTAACCTCTGGCGTCTATTATCTTCATGTCGAGCAGGAACTGACTTGTCCGTAGATGCCGAACATTACTACAAGGCCATGTACCGAGGACAAGACAAATCTTGGAATCTCCGAGATACGCACATGTTTGAGACCCTTAAGAGAGTTCTTGAGCATCGGGGTGAAGGTTCAAAGGCCATCGTCTGGGCACATAACAGCCATATAGGTGACGCCCGTGCCACAAGTATGAGCTGGGCTAGTCACGAGCTCAACATTGGGGAGCTTTGCAAGAAGACATTTGGAGACAACGCTCTTAGCATCGGTACAGGTACAAACACCGGTACTGTTGCTGCAGCTCAGAATTGGGAGAGCGATATGAACATCATGAAAGTCCAACAGGGGCTCCCAGGCAGTTATGAAGAGCTCATGCATGCAACTGGCATCAGTAAGTTTATCCTGGATCTGCGGAAAGGGAAATGTGATCAGAAACTACGGGAGGTGTTATGTAAGGAACGACTGGAGAGATCTATCGGTGTGATATATAAGCCAGAGACGGAGAAGGCCTCACATTACTCATATGCCATTTTGCCGGACCAGTTTGATGGATACATCTGGTTTGACGAGTCGAAGCATGTTGGAACATTTGAGGTTCATCAACCTCTATCACCACTTGAGTACCATGAAACCTGGCCATTTGGGCTATAGTTCTCTTGATAGAGTATTTGATGGTTTTTCACGATTTTACAATTCCAACGCTGACTTTTTCCCTCGCTCTGCAGCGAGTCATAGTGGGTAAAGTTCAAAGAAACGATCAATAGACAGTATATAAAAGAATAGTTGGATATGTTACAATATCAAGTATCTCGCCCTACAGTTACAAATATACTCACGTCGTTCGCGCCTGGCCGCTTGTACAAGAACTATTATGACAAGAACTTTCCACTGATGCATTTCACAAGAACGCTACACGAATTCGTGAAGCTTCACTACAAACTCACGTCACGGGAAATCTTGCACTTTCATGGTTAGTACCTTACCTTTTGGATTCGCCATTTTTTTGCACATTTTACCAAGCAAATGTAAAATACCCGTGGCAAACGTCGGATGTCTTGTCAAGTCGTGTCAGAAATATTTCATGAAAGGCACCTTGGAGTCTCACCATTTGATCCATAGGACTGACTGTATTGACAGCAAGTGTGGTGTCGTAATCTCATTTCTCGCTTTGTTTTGGCTCAGGAACCCGATGTTCCTACTATCTTCCCAACGTTATTGTAAGAAAAGTCATGATTAGCAACCCTTCAGAAAAAACAAACAAATCCAACTCCGAATCCACGCCCAAAAGTCTAAAAACGGCTTCCACCTCAGAACTAATACCTGTGTCGGGTGGAGTAGTCCTTGGGACTGACGACCAGACCACGTCCCTTCTTGGCACCTCGGTACACCGTCTCGAAAATATCAATGAGCTCCTGCTTGTCCTCAAGAACCCATTTGATCTTATTATTGTCACCAGTACCCAGATCGATCATCATGTGCTTGTTTCGGAAGAAGAACATGAGGGAGCACGGGTCATAGAGTTCGTACATCTGGTTGAAGTCGGGGACCTGGTCGATGTCGCAGAGGTAGATGACAGCGAAGTTGCGGACCTTGTCGGCGATCTTATAGAGGACTTCGTCTTGGCGCATACAGTCTGAATCCCAGTCGCGGCCGAAGCGGATGACAACGAGACGGTCTTCCTCTAGAGAAAAAGTTAGTAAGTGAAGTGTATGTTAAGAGATGCGATGGTGTTTACCTGAGAGGATGGCTTGGTCGACGTGCCAGCCGGTGTTGAGATGAGGGAGGACGACGGAGCCCATTTTTTTCTGTTTTTTGAGGAATTTGGTGCAAAGAACCGTGTGTTGAGTTGTAGATTGGAAGAGAACTTGCGGTGGTTGTGTCTTGGAAGATGGAAAGAGAACCATGATGAAGGCGTCGGCACGTAAGGTGGGTCCCGGTCAGGTTAAACGCTAGCCTGATTTGGCCCGAGGTGAACAAGCTTCACCTTGGTTAAAAGCTAAACTCACCCAAGTACACCCCAACCATAGGCAGGTGGGTTGGTACGTGAAATAATAGTATTTCGAATACATTCACAGTTTGTAATTTCCATAAGTGTTCTCTATATAAAGATTGAATCCATTTTCTACTATAATTTATCAAACATCATACTCATCAATAACACTCCTCGGCTTGAAATATTGACCCAAAGGCTCAAACTTCAAGTGCTCAAACCCAAATGCATCTGGTCCTCCAATCTTGATTCCTCGCTCTGATCCAGTCCATCTGTCACTCGCCGCTATTCCCAGCACTACAACAAGTAATCCATATCGATATTCCGGTGTTCCAACAGCTTCTCCGTTCTGTGCATCGATGACACAGACAAGGTCAGGGACAATAGCCAAAACATCCTCCTGGAGCTCCTCCTTACGATCAGGATGAACCTTGAGAGCAGCGATGTTCTCATTCTTGAACGGAATCTTGACGATGCCCTTGAACTGTTGCTCCGAGCCTTCACCAGAAGCTGCATTCGCTTCATCTCGAACATCAGCACCTTCGATGAGGCACTCGCCATAGACATGTCCATTTCTCAGTGTCCTCTCCACGCCGATGATTTTACCCTTCCACAACACTTTGCCCGCTCCAGGACCACCACACTCATCTATGATAGTCTCGGCAACATTGTCCACGCGGTTTTCCTTGCGTGCTCGAGCAACTGCCCGCCCAATCCTCCACGATTGAGAAAGCGTGTGCTCGATAGCCCAGCGCCTCGTCTCTGCTCCAGTGACTGGAGCGTCTGCAGCGCCTACCTGGGAGCCCATCTCGCTCAGGGCAGAGCGTATGATGCGCTCGACGGCCTCGTCGGAGGATGCTTTTGGCATGACGAGAACATTGCCGTTTCCATCACTCACAGCAATGGGTGACCAGATGGTCTCCCTTTCTTTGAAAACCACAGGTGTCGTCTGCCATTTCGTGGGATACGCCCTGCCCATCCAATCTCCATCTACTGTAAGTATATCCATCTGGTCACTCGAGCCAAGCAGCAATCCACTTAGGCCATTAGCTCCTCCAACTTCGACGGAGATCATGTGAGTGGCTGATGTGTTGCACATCTTGTATAATTCCTGCTGTGCCTCAAGAAGTTCATCACCTGCAAGCTTTTCGATTGCGACGGTAGGACTTCCTGCTCCGCCGCCACAGCCAACTCGTGCATCATCGGGCAAATCTTCAGGATTGACCACTCTGACTGTGGCTCCGTTGCGCAGCTGAGTTCGAAGTCGAATCATCAGTCCGTAGGGACTACCGCCGCCTCCTGTGCCAAGAATGTAGCAGCCTGTTGCGATCCACGAAACATCCCTCTCTGAGATATACCATGTTCGCTTTCTCACATCAGGGCGGTATACCAGTATATCGAAATCCTCTTCCTCTTTTGTATCACGCTTTGAGCTTTGGTCTTTGGCGCTCTTCTCGTAACTTTCCATCTCCTGGTGTTCCTCAGATTCTTCCCCTGTTTCAGGCACAACGCTTTCTTTTGAAAAGTCAAAGTCTCCCGTGGCTCGAACGACAAATCTAGTCTTGTTCGCAATGTACTGCGTGGTGGTCAGCAAAGTGTTAAACAATTCTCCTGGTGAAACATACTTGGAGGGGCAAGACTTCCTTCTCAACAACAGTGACTGTTGATTGTAGAGCCCCTGCCTTTACGGTCTTCTCGATGGCTTCCTGGCACACTTCCTCTAAAAAGTCGTTCGCTGACTTCTCCGCTGTTGACTTGACTGTATCTACAACAGCACTGACTCTCGCCATGGCAGCACCAATGGCATTAGCAACCTGTGACCACTTGGGTTTGAGCACTTTGCTCGCTCCCTTGAGCTCATCGGGAGCAATGACGGCTCCGCCTCCCACAAGAATCACAGGCATATCCTGAGGCGACGTCTTCATTATATCGATCACCTTCTCCAGCTTGTGCCTAATGGCCAATCTGACCATTCCAAGCTCCTCCTCGGAAATGGCGTCTTTCAAACGGGCTGCATCTCCAATTCCTAGACCTGGATTGACAAGAACCGTACAATCCGTCGCCGTTAGGACTTTCCCACCAAATACAATAGCCTCCTGTGTCAACTTATATCCAACGCTGTCTGGTCCTACTGAAATGACGTTATCTTTCCGTACAATAGAGCCTCCGCCAAGGCCGATGCTCTTGATATCAGGGCAAGAAAAGTTCATGCGAACGCCTGACAAGTCGCTATAAGCTGCTTGTTGACGAGGAAACCCGTTCTCCAGAAGAATGCCAACATCGGACGTAGTTCCTCCAATGTCCACCACCATCATGGCTTCGTCAAGCTCGTTCTGCACTAGAAAGGCAGCTCCTCTCATGCTGTTGGTGGGACCGCTCGAAAATGTTCGGATAGGCAGACGGGCAGCTAGTTCGCCAGAAAGTACAGTGCCATCATTCTGAGTAATAAAGACGGGACAGTTTAAGCCCAATCTCTTGACAGGTTCGTGGAAAGATCGGATTGTCTTGCGGGCAAAAGGCAGAATGGAAGCGTTGAGAATAGCTGCGTTTTCTCTCTCAAGGAAGCCAAGATTGGCAACTTCTTTACTGCATACGACATCGCAGCCAGGTATCTCACTCTTGATGATGTCTGAGGCTCTCTCTTCTTGTCTTTCGACTGTGTCGATGGGGCTGAAGACACCAATAACCACCACGCTCCTAATTCCCTTCTCTTTGATAATGGCGCATTGTGCCTTGATCTCGTTTTGGTCGATATCGGATATCAGCCGACCATCAACTTCGAGTCCACCCTTTACCAGAGCATGGTGCCCCAGAATGAGCTCCTTCATATCACTGGGCCAGTCGACACATGGCAGGATGTGCTTAGAGAAGGGTCCACATAAACGAATAACAGCGATTCGAGACAGTCTCGTGGCGTCTCTTTCAACAACGGCATTGACAAAGTGTGTGGTTCCGATGGTCACACTAGCAACTTCATCAGGGCTGATAGAAGCCGAGCTGAGCAGTTTGGTGAGGGCATTGTTGATACCAACACTAGGGTTTGTAGTCGTTGGTTCTTTGTGCCATGCGATGATGCCGCGATCAGGTCCTGAGGTTTGCAGAGGATCGATAAGGACGCCATCTGTGTTGGTTCCACCGACATCAATACCAACTCGAAGACGTCGTGCCGCTGTCGTTGCGCTCATGGTGGATACGTCACTGAGTTGAACTTGGCTTGCGGTGCTATTGTTACGATGGGGCGATATTCGAGGATAAAATAATATCTTAACACCAGATATTCCTTCGCATTACAATGTAGAAGCCAAGTCCTGTAGTTACCTAGGGATCTTGATTATCCCGATGCCGGCGAATGAGCTCCGCACAAAAGAGCTCCAAAGGATTCAGCTGTGGGGTTTCAACTGAAGGATCAACGATTTGGTGTTGATCATGTCTGAGATACTTCTTATCAATCAGCCGCCTTTTTGTTACATGCTTCAACTGAAAACCTTAGTCAGCTACGGTTGTATTATGAAGCTGTTGTGAAACCACAATTACATTTAGTCGGTTATACCCTACAGCATAATAAAACCACCAAGTTGTATCCATCGGCCATAATGGCCTTGACGATTCGTCCGCACAACCATTGACGTATAGACAGCGATTTCACTGGCATCACAAATGTCCGAGTTTGATCAAAACGTGGATTTTTATTCATACAATGATTACCATCAATCCTATCTTCCATGAGAGGTTCCATCGAGCTGCTTAACAGATGCAACCCTAGCTATCCCCGACGACTACCTGTCCATGCCGTCCCTTACTAATGAATAAAGCTACCATAATATACTAGAGCCTGTATGCTGTTCCCACTGTCTCGCCCTTTGGGATGCTGCAACCCGTTGGAAGAGAGGGAAAAAAGAAGTAGAAAAAAATAAATGTCTCTCATGGGAAAGAGTCATGGAATTTTGCATATTCCTCGCGACGCCCTTAACGCCAAATCTTTGTGTGTGTATACACCTCTCCGAGAGTCAATTTGCATGGAATCTCTGCGGAAGGTTTGAAATAATAATGAGTCTCATGCAATCGTTGTCCCTGTATGCCAGTTTCCGTGCTTTCGTCTATAGCCAAATAATCGCTTGAGCGTGCTTAAATCTCGATAGTCTTCATTGGTTCATCCACCAACTCAGGCTTCTTGCCATTCGCCTTTGGCGATGACTCTTCCTCCACCTTAAGGAGGTCGGATTCCACACGGGGGATGCTGGTGACATTGGGAATCTTGCTGTCTTGGCTCTGTCGAGGAGTTTCGACCTCTACGAGCTTCTCCGGTTGGATGTATGCGTCGGCAAGCTCGGGGATTGCAGTCTCTTCCGTTACCCGGCTCAGAGGAGTCGCTTTCCCGTAACCTGGTCCAGCACCGGGTCGAGGGCTAGCCAAAGGAGATGAACCGCTCAGGCGTTGCATAGATCGACCTCGCCCCTCGCCTTCACCGCCGCTGCCATAGGGAGAAGAAGAGCGCGAGCCTAAAGGAGAGTTGGGCTTGGGGCCCATGGATCGTCTCTTGGAGGGAGCGCGTCGTCCGTACTTCTGGTCCATTCTCCACCTCAAAATGCTGAAATACGAGGGCTCGACTCGTGTCTCCTTGAACTCTCGTAGCTTGAGCTCATTAGTATCTTCGTCTACGTACCACTTGCCGCTGTTGAGATCGTCCGCGACAACAGCGAGGAAGGCAGACCAAGAACGAGCCACAACGTATTTTGTGTCATAGTCACGACCAAAGAGAATGATCTGACCCCATTGACCTCCAGGACCAGGTGCCAGGTCAACAGCCAAGTTGTTGCCACCCCAATCGCGAACCAGAGGGATCCAAGAGCTGTGCGCGTATGCCTTTTGGACAGCATTCGCAGGGACACAGTCCTGGCGAGACATGAGATCCTGTCTCCAAGGACCAGGGCTGTTGCCAGCACCGCCGCCTTGCTTGGAGGAAGAGGCCTCATTACTGCCACCAAAAGCCTTGGAAGGGGTGGAGGGCTTAGCAACGGAGGTCTCGAGCAAGAATTGTTGGTTGACAGTCCTCCAGTTATCCCACTCTTGCACAATTTCCTCGCAGTCCAGTAGCATGTGGCTGAAGATGATTCCAGTGGGCATTCCTCCTCGCTCCTGGCCGTCGTGAATCATGAGGGAGTCGCGGACATCCTGAGGAAGGGAGCAGTCAAGCTGATGCTCCAGGTCGTTCAGATCATTGTTGGTGGCGCCCTCGCAGAGCTGATCGAAAAGCTCTGGGTAATTGTCATCGGCCCAGGAATCGATGCGCCTCCAGGAGTGGACGACTGGGGGAGGAGGTGGAAGGCCATCATTAAAGTTCTGCATTGGGACGTCGCCAGGGCTTTGCACCTCGAAACCATCACCTTGGCTGGCATTGCGAGCGCTCATTGACCTCAGTCCGGGAGAGTAAGGGGCGCCTGATGGTGCAAAAGTGTTGGCGTCCAGACGCGGAGAACCTCGGCCTGTTTCGTCGGTATACGGAGATGAGACGTCGTTTCGAGAATCGGAGGCTGTCGCCACGCCCGTCATGATGCCACCTCGACTGTCCTGCAGAGGGACATGGCGACCGGTTCGGTAAGGGGAGTCGAAAGAAGAGTCTAGAGTTTGTTTAGTTTACTGGGTTCGGCAGGTAGCGATGGGGGTAAAGGGGCGGCATACGTCTGTCATAACTGGTCATAGTGTGCCAGAAAGATCTAATTGTCGCACCGAGTCTGTTGAAGCCGACGTTAGTAACGGCCGACGTCGGAAGGTTTGAGATAGGCTTCAAGACTTACGATGTATCCATGGCGACGGCAAAAGGCGGCGTAAAAGCCAACGAGCGTGGGAAAAGGGCGAACGAGAGCCGGCGGTTGCTAGGGGTCGAGATGCGACAAGAGAAGAGCAGCGGTAATGGGGTGTGCCAAGTCGGTGATTATGAGTAAAAGTAAAAGCGAAAGTGAAAGCGTCGCAAAGCCAAGTCGAGCAAACAGGAGAAAGCGAGCGGAAAATAGCAAGAGAGAGCGACGAAGTATGAGAAGAAGAGAGTAGTAGTTTGTTGATGATGTAGAGTTTGATGGAAGTGAAGATTTCCAAAAGCCCGAGATGTTTGTCCAATCCAATCTAGTACTTAGTACTGAATCCAGGGGAACCTAACAGGCCAAAATGGAGCTACAGAGGGAGAAAAGGTAGGTAGGTGGCTGCTCCGCTGGGCTCAGACGCGTGGGGTCAGGTCGGGTCCAGTCAGCTTTCTTTTTACAGTACAAAGTACGTATCGTTTGGTGGACTAAATGCTGTAATTTTGTCGCCGAGGTCCGTGTAATTAAGTAGGCTGACGATGATGCAGGTATGTATAAAAACAAAGAGGGCGGGTAGCACAGAATAATGGAAGGGGAAAAAAGACCCTGTGATGGAATGGCACAGGTGCTAGAGGAGCAATCCAATCCAATGGCTGACGCAAGAGGTTGGGTTGGTTTGTTTTGTTGTTGATGTTGATTTTCCAAGGTAGCCAATGAATGTCTCAATTGGCCAGTGTCTCTGTTATACTGCACTGCACTGCACTTGCACTGCATGGACTGCACCGCTACAGACCTACAGCACTGACACTAGCAGAGGGGGGCCACCTAATGTGGCGGATGTGCGCGGGCTAACAAGTTAAGGGGTTGACAGACTGGATAATGGATGGACGAGGATGCATTACTACTACTCTACTGCAACACTGAGTGGTTGCCAAAGAATGGACAAGGGTAGGCGATGGAGCATGAAAAGTTGGCATGTGTGCAGCGATAGAGGAGAAAGGAGGCCAACAGGAGAGTTTCCATGATTTAGAGAGGATGCATCTACTGCAACCGATGAACATATCATTTATGCAGGCAAACTTGATTTCATCATGACGAACATCATTTTTACTTTCATGAATCAAGGCCCAACTCAATTGACGATTCATTCACATGACCGTTTATTACTAACTAGTAGTAGTTCAACTTACCGCCCGTTGTAAAACTCCTGAGTTACATTCCATACCCCTACTTCTCAGTTGGTAGAGAAAAACCCTAGACTTGACAAGTCCCGGGTTTGAGACGGCCAGGCGAAAGCCGCAGGGGGGCTTGCATAAGGTGCATTGGTTGGTCTACTAACCAATGCAAGGTACCGTTCCCGCCAGCACACTATGAGACGCTACCTTGACAGAGATTAGGTTCAGGGGCAACCTTAATCCAATTTGGCTGATTTTGGGTTACAGATGACTGCGTCGCGAATAAATTCTATGGGCAGTAGAGGCCCGCTTGAAGACGCCGTGGCTTGCTCTTTATTTTAAGGGTCTACACAAGCGGCCCGGCTTTGTATGTAACGTGAGGCTACCAAAAAAAAAAATGCATGACGATATAAAGATGGGTAATGATCCAGTGTTGGACTATGTTATATATGTCTGCTTATGTGGAGAATTAGATCAATCGCAGAGCTTCACTGCTATATGCTCGTGCTCATACTTAATACAATAATAACAAATTCCCAAATATGATACGAACCTAGATACAACTTTTGAAATCAAAGGCATCTCGCGTCGGTTTGAGATCAATGCTTGATCCTTCCACTACAGCTTCACCGATTGACAGATTCATTCTAGACCTTTTTTACTCCACTGTCAATCCTGGCATGCGGTACTCGAAGTAACATGATCTAACAACCCCTTATCTCATCCCATACACCTGAAAACACAAAACTATGTATCTCGCTTCATTCAATACGAACAAGATCTCATTCAACAAAAGACATAATTATTCTCACAATACTATTTCCTCGCTTACTTACATGTCTGCAATACAATCCCTGTTCATAAGACAATAACTAATTCCCGAATACAACACAACCCCTTATCATCATGCCCTCAACGATTGCCACCTCTGCCTCATGCCGATCTCATTTCTTTTGATAGCCCTACTAGAATAGAAATCCCCTCTCTTTCTTTCTTTCCCCACACTTGACTAATGTTCCTCAAGGTGCAAAAAATAAATGGCCGATAGCCCAAAAAGTTGGTCCAGGGTGGCATCGGGTGACTAAATCGGTTCGCCTCTTATTCTGTCAGACAATCTTTCTGTATCCTCGAAGCGTTTGCAGGTGCAGAGTTGCGGCGGTGCGTCGCTCGTTCCTATTCCTTGTTTCACTGCATAAAGTCATGGGATGCATATTGCGTTGCTATTTGCCTTTGCCTGTGCTCTATCATGGATGCCGCGTGGTTTGCCGCGTGGTTTGCCGCGGCTACTTACAGCAAAGTGACAGAGAACATGTGTACACTGCTATATTTGTGTCTCATCCTGAGCCATTGATAGGATAGTTGAAAATCATACTTGATACCATAAACGATCAATCCTGATATGTCATTCAATCATGCATCACTACTGCTCTACCTAGTATCACCAATATACCCACCTCATGTAAACGTCAAACCCCAGCCATTAATGCACTATACATCGCCTCGATCTATCTATGTCTGCCACATGTGCTCGCTGAGCCCAAGCAATTTGTCCTGCATCTGCCTCTTGGCTGCTGTGGCGATTCCGCGCTCGGGGTTCGCCATGGCTTCACTGTAACATAGCTCCACGAGTGCCTTCAGCTCATCGTAAGAAAAGTTGTCGGGGTCTTGTGCGCTTGTGCCCCGCTGTTGCGCCTTGTCTTCTTTTGCCTTCTCCACGATAGCATCCGCTCCTTGCTCGTATAGAGAGAAGTAGTTTGCTGCACGCGCCAGGTCGACACCCTCTTCCACGTTCTTGAGATTTTGCTGAAGTACAAGGATGTTGAGCTGCATACGTCCGCAACCCTTGTCGTTCATTGGCGACGCCTTGCCTGCGTTGCTTACAAGGTAGCAATTGATGAGCAGACCCAGACCAGTCCTGATAAATGCAACCTCCTTGTCTCGGAGAAACTTGACAATGGTCTCATCGAAGAACACCAGCTCTGAATTGAGGTTCAAAATCTGCGGATCAGGTTCGCTGACCTCCTGGTCGAGAAGGTAGGGTGCCACCGTGGGTGACAAGGCAACGCCGAGAGAGTGGACTATGCGGCACCGAATCTCCATATGGAGGGTGAGTAGTGCTGTTCCTGCGAGTTCTTCAAAGGAAGATACGATGCTGTCAAATGCTCTGATCGCCGATTAGTATTATACTCCACTCACTGGGTCGTGCAACTTACTGTACAGTATCCTGCGTCAACGGCAGTGACACAGGTCCCTCTTCACCGGCGCCCTTGCTAGGCTCGTTCATAAGAGTCCATCGTCGGTTTGAATGTCGGGGCAGGTTCTGTCGTGACGTATCCGTATCGTGTGTCGTGATTTGACGCAGCCCAGAAATCTTGACAGCAAGCCATTTCATGCTGGTATACAAAAGACAAAGAGATGAAATCGAATCTCGATCTTGGATAATGTCGCCCGAATCTAGTGGCGATTCGTTTGTGAGCTCCATCAGCAAGTGAATTTCCTTTTCGGCCAATTCCCAATCCATTTCCTCTGCCGTGAATAGTTTCTTCATGGTTTCTTGTAACTCTCCTTGATCCAGAGAGAAGCGCGCTGATGATCTCAGGTTATCGTTACTGATCTCTGTAGCTTGGTCTTGGGCTTTGACCACAAGCGTTTTGAACCAGCTGAAGCAGCGGTCATAATATCGCATCATCTGAGTTACGATCAGCGAGCTGAGTGCCTGGTCTGGCGGTATCGTGCCCAGCATGCGACAGAATGCTGTCACGACCTCAAAAAAGGCCGTCGTTCCTCGGAACACAGGCCGACGTGCAACCTGATTCCAGGCCGAATCCTGCGAGAACGCGTCTGCTTCCCCAAATACAGTGTCGCTCAGTTTTGCTAGGGTCTCGTCCAGTTGCGGCTGGAAAACGTTGACCAAGAAATTGTCCAGAAACGTTGTCAGTGTGCTTGCGGCGAGGTCTGAGCCAGGAGGAACGATGCTTTTGAGTCGCTGCAGGAACACCAATGTCGGTGGCAGCAGCAAGCTCATATTGAAGACACTTGGTTCCACTAGGGATTTGTACGAGCCTGTCGTCTGATGGCTACTGCCGTGACCGCCGTCGCCTCCCCTTCTCCCTCCCTCTGGCGCGCTTCGCCCTTTCCTGTCTTGTTTCAACCCAGGGACAGCGTCCTGTATAATACTATCAAGTGCATCATATTCGCTCGTCATCTCAACAGACTTCGTGTTGGCCTCCGAGAACTTGAAGAGATGCTCACGTACATCCTTTTTGCCGTGAAGAGTATCTCCTGGGTTTGGGGAATCAAATTGGTAAACGTCAGCGTCTGTTGTAACATAGTTGTGCAGCAAAGATCGAATCTCGTTTTGGTAAAGATTCCACAACTCCTTGAAGCTGCCAAGGAGGGCGCTGTTGTTACCAGCGCCTTCTCGTCGGATGAGGACTTTGATGGATTCGTGGAAGACGCGGTGGCCTTCTCCAATCGCCTCAAACTTTCCGTATAGCGACCACAAAAGATCGTAGATAACATCTGCCCTCATTTGTGTTTCGCGTGTGCCATATACATGAAGACCATCGCCTCTGGCCGAGCCACCCCTCAGGGAACTAGGGTGCCTTTGGTCTACTTCGTTGATGGTCTCATTAACGATGGTAAAGAGTTCAACTGGTAGTCGCTGTTTGAGTGTCTCGACGGCATTTTGTAATCGTCCTAATCTGTTCAGAGATTCTACCAGTAGCCCAACATAATAGAATGTATCGGCTTCGGGGTTCTTCATTGGGTCCTCTCTGATTGTCTTGTCGACATCAATGGCATCGAGAACCATGTGAAATGGAGCGATAGGCTTGATGTCAGTATAGCCTTCTGTTACAGCACCTTGCGTCTTGGCCAGGTTCTGCCATCGTTCCTGGCAATACGGCGACTTGAGGTAAAGATGCTCGTGTAGCTCTTCCACCAGAATGTCCATTAAAGCAGTCTCTTGGTTCGCAAGATAGCTCCTCAAGTCAGCTAGGGCGCCTATATCGTCTAGTTCAGGCTTTCTTAGCTTTCGGAGAGCACTCTGTAATACTTCTACAGCCGTCAAGAAACGCTTCTCGGATATTCTTGCCTCCAGCTGATCTGGTACGGCACGGAGATCATCAAGCTCATTGAGTGTCTGCAAAAGCGCATCAAATTCTTGCGACGATTTGGAAAGCTTCTTCAACTCTGGATCTGTTGCACAGAGGCTCGTTTTCGAGCTCGCCAGCGACTCCTTTAGTGCCCGCACTCGCTTTTGCGACTGTTGAATACTGCTTTGGATCTTGTGAAATGTACCAATCGAACTGTTGAAGCCCTGATGGTGTTCATGAACGATTCCCTTCAGAGATTCTTGGAGATAATTATGCGATTGCTGAAACTGGCCGTATTCATGAGCGCGACCAACCGAGCTCTTGTCGAGAAGTTGCAGCGACAGTTGGACTGGAACGCAGTCGTCTTGGCACATTGAAGGCCATTCTTTCTTGATGTGGTCTATAACCTCGGTAATTTGTCGTGCGGCATGGGTGTCAGGGACGTGTGATTGTCCTTGTCCCTGCAACTGGGTTTGTGGTATACGTGACCGCGACGACATCTGTCGAAGACTAGGCGGTGGTCGCGGTTGCTGGGTAGTTGGTGGCGTGGCATACCGATCGCTCCCGTAGCCATCTTGATAGCCAGATCTATAGTCGTCGTTGGAGCGGCCAAAGTTGCCGTAGCCGTTACCCTCACGGGGAGGAGGTCGGTCGTATCGATTCGACATGTTGGTGATAGCGGACGGCGAAACGTTTACGAGATATTGGCCGCTTCGAAGCGCATTGTCGCTATGGGAAATGCAGTATATAGAGTCAATTTAGCTCTGGACTGGAAATTTGATAGCCCAGATGCGCAAGTTCAAAAGTGTCAATTTGTTAAGTTGGGGTTGTTGGTATGAGAGCTGGATGTCGAGGGGTCGAAGCTTAGGTTGGTTGACGAACATTCAGCTTCGAAATGTTAGGGCGGTACGTACCCCATAGCTCTCTTGAATTACAGGAGCCAACCACTCAACGAACTGGATATGACAAGTTCGATTCTTACTACAATCGGGAAGAAAATATACATGTCTGACAATGTTTTTTCGGATATATTTAAATATCACTTGTAATGTATCTCATGCTGAATGTCTGACAACATCCAAGCTCTTTTGCATGAGGCTGTGTGGACTCTGAGTTCAAGGTTAATATTAAGCAATGGTACGGGAAGAACTAACTCCATTCATAATGTCACTACAATACCTACGTCAAGTAAATGGAGACTGTAATAGGTTTTCTGTAATTTTCACAAATCACTAAAGCCTCGATCATCAACCAGGAAATAAAAGTCGTCTGTAGTTTTGGTATCATTCAGAAGTCGTTGGTTATTATTATGAGCGAAACGTTTTAAGAAAATAAGTAGTGGTATCAATTTATGTCGTCCCTTCCCTCTCACACTTCATGAGCCATGTCAAAATTCATCCTCGTTCAACTCTCCATCAGTTAGCGCCTCCATGCGAGGTCGCTGGTGGAGGAACCAGATGTTGATTCTCGTCCTCTATCGGCTTTGGCAGTTCCTGCTTGACTGGACCCTCGCTGGGACTGGCCTTTGGCTCCTGCACAGTCGTTCCGGATAGATCCGCTTGAGCTATACGACCGTCTTGTGTTTCAAGCTGGTTCTGAAGCGTTGCTCCAGGTTGTTCCGCAGCCTGCATTCTCTTATCCTTTTCCAGGATTGCCTTGGCTAGACCGCGCACTCCATCCAGGATCACATCTTGTCGATCCCAAGCTAAGAACCCGGGAGTTCCAGAAGCTCGGTTCAGATGCACCACCTGGTAGTCCTTGTTCGCCCAGGCGGGGCAAGAATAGCTTACCTTTTTAGGTCGAGGCAGTATTTTTTGCTCTTCACTCTGGTCTTCGTCGCCATTGAACACACTAATGGCAACCTTTGGCTTCTTAGCATGTTTCTTTCCCTCCACGGGTTCAATCTCTGAACCGCACTGTGCCCAAAATCGGAGAGCAGCTTCGGGACCGGGCAGCCAAATCAGACAAGTGAGGGTGATGATGTCCTTTTGTGAAAGCTCTTTCTTAGGACCCACGCTGCGAAGGACCTTTAGCACATAGAGCAGTAAGCCGGTAGGCGAGTCGCAGAGGGCATAAGAGAGGGTGTTGGGCTCGTAATCTTCGCGGGCATCTTGCCCCAGATTGATCGCAGATTTCTTCTTGTCCAGCCGTGACGTCTTCCGCTTCTGTGTAGCCGTGATATCGTCCTTGGTATATCCAAGAACTGGAGAGCTTAGGATACGAGCCACTTTCCACTTGAGCCATTCGCTTGCTGAATCTGAAAGTGTAGGGGATGTAAGAGGAGGTGCAATCATATGGAATCCTAAGCAAGATTCTGGAAAGTTGTTCGAGAGATGTCGGGCCAGTCTCCAGTCAATGGCAGCTGGGGAAATAGAAGCAGATCCGGCGTTGCTGGCGATGTAGTGTTCATAACCCAATCTTCTCATCAAGTCATCCAACAATTTCGCTGTTGTAGAAACCGGGGGAGCACTGGGGGGCAAGGTATCACTGAACCCTAGCCCAGGCAATGATGGGATCACGACATGGAAGGGCCGGACGCCCCCGGCATCTTCAGGGTCACTGAGGGGTTGAACAAGATGACCAAGTGAAAGATTAGTGAGAGGGAAAGGCGGTATCAAGAGAAGAGGAATGGCGTTTGCATGAGGTGAACGAGTGTGGATGAAATGAATCCGGACAGGTGTTGGCGGTGTGGAAGTCTGGAAGCTGGTTCTGAACTGTGAAAGTGTGTTGTTGAGCTCTTCTTCGTGATCCCGCCACAAGAATGATTCTTGCCTGGATAAAACATGTGAGTTGAGTTCTGGATTGTTTACACATGAGGAGTTTAGCTCACCAGAAATCAACTAGAGATTCAACTTGAGGCTTTGGCTCCCACCAATCTTTAGAAGACGGCTCATGAGGTAGTCGGGTAAGCTCCAGCTTCTGACGCGTAATATCTAGATATTTACTCGATACCTGGGAAGGGGGGTTAATAGTGTTCCTAACGGCGGCGTTGTCTGTCTAAACTCACATGTATGCGATAAGGCTGAATTTCCTTATCGGAGACTCCGGATTGTCGTTGTTGCTCTGACATGTTTTAGGTTCTCACTGTACGACTCAACTACGTCCGACTGCTTGATACAATATGGTGTCACAGGTGGCCGAGTATGGTGAGATGCTTGACGACAGATCAAAACAAACAGGCAAGATGGAAAAGACCGAGAAATTAAACAAATGCGACTCGTTTTCACGAGCTGAGTTGCTTTCGTAACCCGGCCAAAATCAGGACCCTTACACCCACCCTTATAACACAGGACCCTGGCCCCGGTCGTGATAGCTGCGTGGACTAAGAAGACCCTGACGTGGCTGACACCCGCTGTGGCTTTAGTATATGGGGAAAGCGGCACAAATGGTCCGAATCATGTTGTGATTGGTACAAAAGGAGAACTTCCTGGTAGATAGTGGCGGTGCATGCAAATCCCCTTGCTGCTTCGGAAATGATCACTTTGGGCATCAGACGTGGCTTTGACCCGTTTTGGTGTATGCTTAGACAAATCATGTTTATTCGGCTACTACCTTCTGCCAACTTTTGCTTCTGAAAACAGGGAAACTCAGCTGGTGTGGAACACTACAAGCGGGGGCTTCCTGGATGGTGATCTGGCTGTGGCTGATCCTGACAACAAACTAGCCACCTCCATCTGTCACACCGCATGGATAGACATGAAACGCCGGCTGAGGAGACAACAAGGCTTGACAACTCATCCCATCATGTGATAACAGAATGTAAGGAAGAACAGTCGAGACCATGAGAAAGCTGCCTCGATGGTATATACGAGATATTCGGCTTCTTCTTAGGCTCCAATCCATATCCGAACGCCTGTATGCATCCCATTCCTTATTGTGTAACACCGCATCGTCTGGTCTCTAATCCTAAATGAACTGTTGTGATGCGCAAAGGTCATGAAACAGTCTAACCAGCAGTTTTCCGTACTGGCTTTTGGTTGGCTTCTGTGACTAACTCTTCCTCTTTGGGAATGGGGTACTGAATGGGGTTTGTATGTAGCCTTAGCGAAGCTCCACGGTCCATTGCCGTGCAAGCGACTGGCCTACATGTGCATGGATGGCTACTGCCGATGGAATTTGGGACTCCTCAACTATTCCGTGGTGGTGGCTGGTTACTACCTTGCGGCCCACCTCGAAGATTGATCTGCCCTATTCGTGACACTATGTTGCTGCCAACTGCGTCAACAGCACCCCGGGGTGAAGTCAAAGTTGGACCTTCTGGGGCTGTTTCTTGGACTCGGAAGAGCTTAATAGAAGTCCCGTTCCATATTCCCATAGTTCCTCTCGAAACTTGCATCTCGTTTGTGAATACAACTCCCCATAGAAGAGACTCATACCAGCCCAGAGCAAGCTGAGACCACTCAAATGAGTGTACGCGAGGGGCTGAAGGTTCGATACCTACAATTCCAACACCTGAGATCCGCCGAAGCGTTTCTGGTGTCGGGATATCGGCGGCCAGTTCTTGGCGTGGCAAGAGAGCTGAGACCTGTTGGATAACGGCGAGGATTGTATGCAGCGGCAGTTCCAGTAACCAGCTGTCAATCCAGTGAGCCGTTGGCTCAAATGCACCTGCCTGCGATTGCCCTGATATTGAATGCCCACCCAAACTTGTTGTGCTATTCTGCCGTGAGAAACTCGGAACACCGGCTGGCATCTTACCGCGAGCCTTCTCAGACATCCCCCTCAGCTGAGTTGGGAGAGCGTCCTCAGCGTTGGGAGTCGATGATCTCCTGGATGGCGCTTCACTCGAAGTCGACCTTGCAGGGGTCTCTTGGTGTTCTTCGTCATCACTATCGTCGTCTTCATCATCGTCGTCCTCGTCGTCTCCAATTGCAAACGCGCCGTCTTCTGGAACTTCCTCCAATGATGAATGACGCGGGTGAGCACTGCTTGGGCTTCTTAGGCTATCGACTGAGCTGCGAACGGATGTAGCCTCCAACAGATCAGCATGTTGTCCAGAGTCTTTTCTTCTTCTATTTCGTCTCTCAATCTCTTCTTGTCCACTCTCAAGAGTAAATGAGCGCAGGGCCTCGACTCGCTTCTTGTTCCTGAGGATAGCAAACACAAGTTCAGGATTCTTGCGATATTTGTTCTCTAGAATGGAATTAATAGACTCCAAAAGCGAGTGCAAAAGGGTATGGTTGGTTTCATTGGCGAGAAGAAACGAGGGTGAGGACATAGAAGAGAACAGCTGCATCAGTTTCGAGCTACTGGTGCTACTCAGGCCCTCGAGGTAAGGGGCAATGTTATTAATCACCGCCAACAGAGCCGGGTATATCGCCGACAGCTTCCCTTGACTCGTGGTTATCAGATTGTAGATGGAATGTATGAGAAAGTCGGCATATGTGCCCCTAAAGCCTGGCACACGAATCGAAACCGGCAAGCTCTCCTGCCCTTCGAAGTACTTGTTCAAGTTGACCCCGAAGTTCGTCTCTACACTTAGAGTCTGGAGCAAAAAGGCGCACATACGCACAACTCCCTGCTTGGTAGCGTCGTTTTTATACTCGAGGGCGTAGAACAGGGCGAGTACGACAAAATCGTGCGCTCTCTCGGTATCTACAATGAATGATCGGAACCTCTTGTTGCATTGCAGGATCTCCCAAAAAAGCATCAGTATTTCGGGGGCGAAATGGCCAGAAGACTGAGTACCCGGCAGATATGAAGTCTTCTCTTGAAGAGGTTGGTTCAGTATCCGGGTCATTCCGTCAACGATGAATTGGAAGTCCTGAGCCCGATGCAGCCGACCTAAGAAATGACGATAAGAGTTCTTGGGCGAAGGATTCGACGGGCTTTCGGGAATTGGGTACAGAAGAAGTACCAAAAGAAAATGCAGAGAGTACGTAACAAGCATTTGCTTGCCATCCTTGAACACAAGGGTGTTGTAAGGGACGCGCCAAGTTGCGGGATTGTATTTTAATGTCTAACGCAAAGTGAGTTAGCATTTACTTATGCGAGGATATCTGTGTAGACGGACCGTATTCAGCAGAGAGCAGAGCACGGAGAGCACCACTTGTTTGTCTGGGCATGCACAGAGATGAGTTAAGGTTCGCACACCAGTCTGTGGAAGGACGCCGGCTGTCATGTACAGACTCTGGCCAGCCAGGGTCAGGAGAAGACGCAGGATTTCTGATCGATTGCTTTCATACTCCTTTGTTGTTGCGACAGCTGTATTGCACCCCACGCCACTCTGCCATATCGCATAGCTAACCTTGGCCCGTCCATGTGGCTGCCGCGGTAAAGTCAAGTCGGAAAAGAATAGCAGATCAACCAATGTATCCACCAACTCTTCTGCAAGTGGCTTGACCTCTTCAAAATGTGCGGATTCGACTTTGCGCTCGGCTTCCTGGGCTTCGTCAAAGATGATTTCATTAGCAATAGCAGCCTGTCGAGTGCGCTTCCTCCGCTGTCCCCAGAAGAACTGTTGTTCCCATTCGCCCAGAGAGTCTTTCTCATATAAGTAGGGCAAGATCCGGGTCAGGACCCGGACACAATTCAATGCCTCGCGCTCTGGAGCGAGTTCGGGGTCAGGGAAAGATGGGTGATGACGTAGGATGAATAGGCGAGACGTGACGGCCAGGATAAGGGTTTCTAGGTTTTCGAGGGCGCGATCGCGAGTCCTCCGAATATCTGTAGGCGTGAACAAACTAAACACGTCCTCGGAAGATTCAGGGAGCTCCCAGAACTGGACAGCATAATGTTAGCACACGAGCTACACTCTCATACAGACTCAGGGTGGAGTGAACGAACAGAGGTCCAGTAGGCATCATCTGCGGGTATATGTCGTTCTTCGCATAATCGAAAGATGCCCCGTTTGAAAACGAGCTTAGAGTCACTCGCGCCCATTGTTAATGCATGAGAAAATACCAGGAAAGAGACTGCGCTTCAAGAGGAATTCTTTGTGATGTCCTCTTGGAACTTTGGGGGGCTCCAGGATGACGAGGTGTTGCGCTACTGTATGGGAACGGATACCTTGCTTGCGTGCCCCGGTGTTTTAGCTAACCAATCACGTGTCATAGTATACGTATCCGAGATATTACCGAAGTCGTTGATGCTTGTATAGAACTTTTTTTTAATAGGTACATTTGGAAGTCCCTTCCATTGTGAAGTGTCAACTTTGATTGACTTTTTTTTATTTCTCCCCTTCGGTGTCAACCAATTTAGAGAAGGACGCCTCAATGCTTCGAGTTCGGAGAGGATTGGGCTCTCCAGCCGGCTTTGCAAGCATTTGTCGACCGTATGTACGATACCCCCGGCAATGTACACCCTTCCGATCGTTTGCGACAGACCCCAGCCTAGACAATGCCTCTGAACTCCCCACAGACTCCAATTCTCACACTGAGAACATTCCGAAACCTCTCGATTCTACCTCGGACTCATTACAGGAACGTGTGAGCAGAGCACACTTGAACGAGGCGCAGGAAGTGAAGGAACAAGTGGAAGCTGCCAGTAATGACACCAACTTCAACGAGGCACTGGATGTGGTCCGTAGAGTTTATGGTGTCGAACATAAAGAAAAGAAGGAGAGAAAATCTAAGTCCCCGCCCCAGACTCAAGAATCAGGCAATGCAGAAGAAATAATCTACGAAGACAATACGCTTGAGATAGATTCACCAGCGGGAACTCAACAAACTGCAGTATGGACCTCTCTGCGCGAGAAACTACAACAGAAGATATCGCCGGGATCCCTATACACGTTTCGGTCCACACGTGACGATTCCGCCGCATTCGTCACCGATCAGGATGGCGCCTTTATGTCCAGAAGCCTGGACACAGAGCAGGATGCCGAACCGACGGAACAACAACTCTTGGACGAATTAAAGAAACAGACTGGAAGCGTGAAGAAACGCAGTTCCAAGCTGAAATCCGGAATAAAGACACTCATCCCCAAGACAATGGTGCTTACACCAGTCGAAAAGACTAGGGCAAAAGAAGTTCCTTATCTGGCCTACAATCTGGAGAAGGTTCTGTTCAACTCTGGACCTTACCAGCTCCAGGATAGGCGCACCCAGGTTTACAATTTTGACCCTTATTTGGGCACAATCATGCCAGTCGAAGAGTTTGATTTCAACGCATTGAAAGAATATGTGACTTCTTCCAAAGATGAAACGTTGACAAAGCTGAGTGCGAAGCACGGCAAGAAATACTGTGGTTCAACTTCAAGTATGACATCCATGCTCGCACAATTCCACTTCCTTCTGTCAGACTGGAGGAAACCAAACTTTGACCAGTTGTCAAAATCCTTCAGAGTTGAATTTGAGTCGTTCACCATGCTGACCCGAGCACCGGTGGCTGCATTCGCACGTTACAAGGACGGTGTGTATGCTATCGATGCCGACAAGGAGTTTGATACCGCGAATATCCTAAGTATGCTGGGAAAATCCATGGAAAAGCTCCTGACTCTGCCAAAGGAACACTTTGAAAAGTATAGGAGATCTCGCTCCCACGAGCTGTCGGACGAAGAGAAAAATGCCGACGAAGCCTTTCATTACACAACCCTGGGCGATTTCATGATGCGATCGCAGCTTGATGCTCGCGATAAAAGACTCCCTGGCACTGGTGTCTTTGATCTTAAAACACGCGCCGTTGTTACTATCCGCATGGACGTAGGCGATTACGAAAAAGGCGTCGGCTATGAGATTGATTCCCGGTTCGGCCAATGGAATTCATTCGAGCGCGAATACTATGACATGATACGAGCGGCGTTTCTCAAGTACTCCTTGCAAGTAAGAATGGGACGCATGGACGGCATCTTTGTTGCTTTCCATAACACCGAACGGATTTTTGGGTTTCAGTACATCAGCCTTGAGGAGATGGATCAAGCTATCCATGGAACAATGAATCGCAAGGTCGGCGACGAGGAGTTTAAAGCAAGTATCGGTCTCCTGAATGAACTGTTAAACAGAGCTTCGAAGAAATTCCCTAAGCAATCGCTCCGACTCCATGTTGAAACAAGACCATTGGACCCCGCCGTATTGTACTTTGTGGCTGAGCCTGTTAGTGAAGAGGAAATGCAAAAGACTCAGGACAAGGGCAAAGCAGCTGTGGAACGATTCGAAAAGCAAATTCTTGGTATATCACGCGGCGACGGTCAGGACGGAGAGCCGAACCTAGGGGAGAATATTGCTTCCCTTGAAGAAGAGGAACGAATCATGAAGGGCATTGCAAATCCTGAACCCGTTGACGCCCCGGAAAGGCAGAAGTCCTGGGACGAGATGATGGCCAAGGTAGACCAGTTCGTGGAGAACGATGCTGCCGGGCTGGCTAATGTCAGAGAGGCCATCGAGCAGGCTCTGGAACAGAGCGGCCTGCTCGCAGGGAAATCAGAGGAGGAGAGGCATACTTATCTCAACGAACTTGTGGAGGCCTTAACCGAGGATTTGGGGGATGGCAAGGAAGGGGTTGATGAACAAGAAGACGCTTTCAACAATTCGGCTGTGGGTGATCTACAGCAAGCCACATTGTCTTCTCTTGAAGGCAGCGAGGGCTCCGCACAAATCGAGTCAAGCTCTGAAACCGAAACTCTCCCGGGGCAGTTGGACGAGGCATCTCAGGGCGCTAGTTTTGACTTTAACCTTGAATCCCAGAATGTTGAGTCTGTTGATGAGACGGTTGCCAGTCGCGTCGAGGACAATGAGATTGTGGTGGATGATATTGCTGGGGAAGATGATGCTTCTGCCCAGACAGTCGACGAAAGCGTTGATGGAAGCGTCGAGCCAGCGACCGACATTGTTTCGCAGGATGCTTCTTCCCTCAAGGATCTCATCCTTAAGGTTGCTGAAGGTGTCGAGGTCAACATGAGCAACTTGAGGACGTTTGAGCGAATTCTGTCAGAGCTGGTACGAGATCAGAAGCAGCTGAGCAACGAGATAGACGAAGATGACTTGGTTGGTATCGATAACAGCCCAGCAGCCACGGACGACTCCCCCGAAGCAAGCCAGTTACCCCCTGCAGGAGAAGCAACTTCTGACCGAAAGGCGCCTGGAAAGTCCGAAAAAGAAGTGCTAGGCATGTACGTCACAGTCCGCAATAAGGTCGACGGCCAGATTGTGAAACGTGTCGAATGCCGGAACTTTGGAGAGGTGCCCGACTGGTTGGTGGAGTACACAATTACGGAGTTCCCATCAGACCGGGCGCAAAAGATCTTGACCCAGATGAAGGGTCGCCGAAGAAAGGTGATGGATTTGGACCCCAGTATGCGTACCAAGCAATGGTTCAAGATGTGGAATGGACAATTAGAGGAGCGTACTCGAGCTGGAAGGAAATCCAGGCGTATGCTCACAGAGAGAGAGGAGCAACGAGGGATTAAAGTTGCGTGGAACGACAAGGCAAAGAAGTCTGACAAGAAGACCACCGAGCCCAGGAAGAAGGCTGCGCCCAAGAAGAAAGCCGAGCCTAAGAAGAAAGCCGCGTCCAAGAAAACGAAATCATCAAAAAAAGATGAAAGCGGGACGGATTGAGGTAAATGTAAGATAGCATGACGGGTGTCAAAAACTTATTCGTGTTGGAGTAGCGAGCTCCGTGTACAACTATTATATGTCGGCTAAGATGCTGAACGTATCTTGCATGATTTTCCAATTAAAATACTTAGAGGGAAGGTAGTTAACGGCTGTATGAAGAGACGCAAAAAGAATTCAAGATTTATGCCATCCAATAAAACGTACAAGAGTATATAGTAAAGGCAGATGAGACTTGGAATAATCCATCAATATGAGGAAGTTAGTTGTATCCTAGAGTTCGTTTCGTAGTTATTGTAAAGTCCTCATGGTATAGTTTGTGTCAATCGATTATTTATGGTGACGTTATCCCCAACACATCCTTGTCTGAACATGTTGGGTCTGAGTTGGTCATGTGGGTGTTGTAGCGGCGCGCCAAAGCTGGTCCGGGAGTTTAACGTTTAACATCCTAAGGCCCGTTCATTCGTTCATCCATTCCTTGTAGTTGTCACTTGAGACGCGAGTCTGATGGTGAATCAACGTAAACCTTTTCTGCCATAATTCACTTGTTGCTTTAATCTCAGATTCGCATTCGCTTGATTCTGATACAACAAATATGCGCTTCTCAATAGCTCTGCTGCCTTGTCTTGGCGTGATAGCAGGCGTTGTCGGAAGTGACGGACCAGCCTTCATCCCCCAAAATATCGACGATATTCAAAAGACACTATATCGAGGCGATTGGGCGGATCGTATATGGAAGCAAATCCAGGGCGTTTCGTCTTGTTCGGGATGCCAGGTTAGTAATGCTTTGTTGGTGCGAAGTCATATACTCGGAGACTAACAGCTACCTATACTACAGGGTCTATTGTTGACATTCAAAAACCTTGCGAATCTGGGCGACAAAACATTCGTACGTACACTTCAGGATATTTGCAAGAAGTCAAAGGTATTTATGATTCATTCCTGCACATAATAAATACTAACAACCCCATCTCAGGTTGAAGAGGCGGATGTTTGTGATGGGACTATTGAGCTCCAGGGACCCATCATTGCAGAGGCCTTGAGAAACGTCGCCATAGGCTCAAAAACCGCACAACACTTCTGCGTTACGTTTCTTGGTCTTTGCCAATATCCTGCTATAGAAGAGTGGGATGTTCCTCTACCGCCTGATAGGTCTCACCTAAAGCGACCAGTCCCAAGTGGGCAAAATCCTATCAAGGTCGTCCATTACTCTGATATCCACGTTGATCAGCTTTATACTGAAGGGTCGAATTCGAAATGCAACAAACCCATATGCTGCAGGTAATTTGGAACCACTCCCCCGCTTGCATACCTTATGGACTGACCTTAGTAGACCCTTTACAGAAAATGATGAGCCTGGAAAGACAGACTCTCCAGCTGGGCCCTTTGGCGAGCACACCTGCGATTCTCCCGTCTCTCTGGAACATAACTTGTACCAGGCAATAAAGGAGATCGTCCCAGACGCCGCTTTTACTATCTTCACCGGTGACGTCGTTGATCATTCGATCTGGAACACTACATGGGATTACAATGAGCACCAGAGTAAGTATTCACTGACACTGTCGAACTTTCTCCTTGCTAACTCGTTTAAGTTATTGAATCATATGAGAACATGGACAAGCATCTCGGTATAGTTTACGGCACAGCAGGAAACCACGAGTCTCATCCTACAAACGCCTATCAACCTAGCTCTATCGGCGACGCATCGTCTTGGATCTACGACCTTCTCGCCGGAACATGGTCTCGCTGGATTGGACGCGAAGCCGCCTCCAGAGTAGCGCAAATGGGTGCCTACTCCACCAAATATCCCCATGGAAACCTCCGTGTCATTTCTCTCAACACAAACCTATACTACCGAGGCAACTTTTGGTTATTTCAGAGAAAGATGATCCGCGACCCTAGTAAACAGCTCGATTGGCTTATCGAAGAACTCCACGTTGCCGAGAAAGCTGGAGAGCGCGTTTATATCATCGGACATATGCCCCTTGGTGATCGGAATGCATTCCACGACCAATCTAATTATCTAAATCAAATAGTGAACCGATATTCGTCAACCATCGCAGCCATGTTTTTTGGCCACACGCACAGAGACCACTTCCAGATCACATATAACGAAGCTACAAAGAAGAGCTTCAACAATGCTCTGCTCACATCATACGTTGGCCCTTCACTTACCCCAACATCCGGCATGCCATCGTTTCGTGTTTACGACGTCGATCCTGTCACATTTGCAGTCCTCGATGCCACGACTTATAGCGCTGACATGAACTCGCCGACGTATCAGACCCAAGGTCCCGTGTGGAAGAAATACTACTCTGCGAAGGAGACGTACGGTCCGCTTACGAACCCGCCACTGACGGACCTTAAAGCAGAGCTTACTGCAGCATTCTGGCACAACGTCACAGAAGTATTTGAAAAGGACCAAACGGCTTTCGACAATTTCATGCTACGTCTGAGCAGGGGTTGGAAACAGCCTGTGTGTAAAGACGAGTGCCGAACATCCCAGATATGTTTGTTGCGAGCTGCACGAAGTCAGGATGGCTGCGACGTCCCCACGCTAGGTTCTTCATATCACACAAGAATGGGGGATGCTTCTGAGAGGGATGAGTGTGGTATCTCTGTCATCCAGGCGACATTCTCTGCACTAGTAGCCAACGAGGGCGTCTTGAGGGTTCTGCAAGAGCTGTTGGTAGGTCTGGAGGTCAAGTTGCATGAATGATGAAGTCTTCTAGTTATAGAGATGAAATTCATGTACATGCCCCATTGTATACTAAATGGCGTGTTTCTTATAATTCACAACGGCTAAACAGCAAGGACTTCAATGCTCTATTAGGGTGGCCACAAATGTATGTAACTTAGTTTCCGTGAGGTCTCCAACACATACACCTCGCCTCTTACAAAGTCTCGCCCGATAACTATGCTAGTAGCCATTTGTATCCTTATTAGTGGATAGACGTAGAATACCGATTTGCGCTGCCTCGATCCTTGCAGAAGTGAAGTGTCACTAGCAACGCCCGCAACCGCTCCCAAACATATAAATCCATGTCAGCTTGATAATGGATCCCACTCTGGTGTTGATAACTCGCTACTTTTGGTGGCCCATGGGCAATCCTTCGATTCCACTTATCCATTTCACTTACACCGGACACATAAGAGACCGGGAATCTCGGCTGACAGCCTTGCGATGCTGAACAATAAGCAGAGTCGGACACATTTTCGGACACATATCATTTGATGAGAAGCATTAACCCGGCTTTGTTATTTTGATTTGCAGTAACAGAGTATCTAAAAGCTGACAACTCTCGAGTTGCGTTTAGCCTGCCTACGTGAGAATTAAGCGCCTATGGTTCCTAGACGCGAACATCCACAGTGTTATAACTGCAGAGCCAGCTCTGGGTATATATAACGGTACTGTTGCAATTTTTCGTACACTTTTCTTCTTACTTGCCGAGATAACGCTTACTGGAAAATGGCTTCCTCACAGAATCAACAACTCGGTTCCGATGTGTGCGTAGTAGGAACGGGAGCACTCGGTCTGTTAGCACTCAAAAACCTTCGTGAACAGGGGCTCGATGTCAAAGCATTGGAGAGACACGAACACATAGGCGGAACATGGCATGCCTCGCAGAATGTCGAGCAGACTACTGCATCAGACTACACGACGGCGAATACTTCTAAGCAATGTGTACGTTTCATCCGGCTGCGAGATACAGACTAACGTTAATAATGTACAGTGTGCTATCACAGACTTTCCTATGCCTGATGGTAAGTTGATGACTTTCAATGGCTACATATAGAAAGCTCACCGTTATTAGAATTCCCTATGCATCCACCTCAAAAAGACCTAGAGCGATACTTTGAATCTTATGCCAGGAAATTTGATCTTTTCCCACATATTGAATTTTCAATCTCAGTCGACCACATCGAACGCGACGAGCAGCAAAAGAAATGGAAAGTTTTCACAAAGAACGTCAAAACGGGAGTTGAAGAGGTCAGATCTTACAGTCGTGTAGTGGTCGCTACTGGCATGCTCAACACCAAGCACATGCCACATGTCAAAGGCATCGAGCAGTTTACAGGAGACGCCCTTCATTCGAGACAGTTCAAGGATGTGTCCAAGTACCGGGGCAAGAATGTCATCGTCGTGGGAGTTGGTGCAACTGGCGTTGATTCAACTTCTTTCCTCGTCAAAGCCGGAGCAAACAAGGTCTATGCCAGTCATCGAGGGACTGTTTTTGTTGTAAGTCTTCCACGCCAAGGATGTTACAAATAGATGCTAACCAAGCAAAGCTCCCCAGACGAGTCAAGGGACAAGCTTTTGAGCATAATATGAGTCGTCGCGTAGCCATGTGCATAAGAGCGTTGGGCAATTTCTCGCCGACGATACTCGCTACGCTCATGACCAAGATGATGGTTAGCGTCCGGGACAAAGAGTGGCCAGTGATGAAAGATATCTTAAAAGATAGACCAGTTGATGGGGTCTTCCACCGAATACCGCTATTCTCGGAGGACCTAGCGAACAATCTCAAGAGTGGCAGTGTCAAGTCGGTAAGGGGCATCCAAGAAATCACTGGACCAAAGACGGTTGTTCTTACCGACGGTACCGTCCTCGAAGATATCGATGCCATAATTTTCTGTTCAGGTTATGGCTATGATTTCTCCATCATCAAAGGCCCTGGAGACCCAACTGATCCAGCCATTGCTCCTGACCACAACAAGAAGATCGAGGCGGCCGAGTATTATCAAGATGAAAACAGGTTTGCTCGTCTTTATCATGGCTTTATGTCGGAGCAGTTCCCTGAGTCTCTAGCATTCATCGGTCATGTAATCCTCATGAGGCCTCCATTTGTGCTGTACGACCTTATCACCATGGCCCTGGCCGGTGTGTGGTCTGGAGGTTACCCCATCGCGAACGAACAAGAGAGACGCAAAGATATCGATGCTCACTATAAATTTGTCGTCAGCATACTCCAACGAGGCCCATTTCCTCATCCAGGGTTCCGTTTCAGGATGGCCAAGACTTATGAGTTTATCAACCAAGCAGCAGGCACAGGAGTGACAGACCGTCTGGGTTGCTTTACATGGGAAGCCTGGAAGCTGTGGTGGAATGATCGAAAGTTTTACAATCTTCTCATGGGTGGGACTGATGTGCCTGCAGTGTACAGACTTTTTGATACTGGTCGAGGTCGGAAGCCATGGACTGGTGCAAGAGAATGGATCATCAAGACGAATGCCGAGATCAAAGAGTTGGGAGAGGTCTGGAAGAAGGAGAATGAAGACAAGAAGACAAATTGAGGAGAATGTATAGTATGATGGTATATTTGTATAGTGTCTTCATATATTTTCAGTAATCATGAGTTCTTCTGGAAGGGGTATAGCACTTGGTATACTCTCCCTTGAGATGTAAACATGACGGAATAAGACATATTCTTGGAATGGAAGATGATATGTTCTAAGGAATTATATGAGAAAGTAGGTTCGCAGTCGTATAAAGCAATATTTCCTTATAGATAAAAACGAAAGGTCTTAGTTCTAGGTGCAGATCTGTTGAGTCGGTAGCTGGGTGTTGTATTATTTGCATGAATTGAGGTTATGTTATGCAGCCTAGACTGGGCGCTACTGTACCCGCCCAAGCGTTCCAGCCAACCTAAACGTTCCCTTAACCAGATCTCAGCTGCATATAGAACTGGAGGGATCCGCATCTCTTTTACCCTGATCAACAACAGCATCGGCGACCACTTCACGCTTTCACTTCCCATAAGTCATTTCTACGTTTAAATTCAGCCACAAAAAAAAGACTGCTGTCTGTAGCTTATGCTCGGCATTCGCCCTACTCTTAGAGCGAGGCGTTCCCTGTTGGATCTTATCCGCACCAGAGGCGAAGACGGCGACGACGACAACAGTAGCCATCGAGAGCAAGGGAGCGACGACCAAAGCCCCGTAAGCAGGTCCCGGTCCCCGGCCAGCTCCAGGGGCTCCAGTGGCGGCCATTTCAGCGAAAGCTTCAGTGATACAGCCCCCGCGCCGCCCGCTAATGTTGTTGTTGCTGCTGCTGGTGACCCCACTCCGGAAGCTGCTGCATCGTCATCATATCGACTCCACCCTGGAGCTGCTGGTTCTGATGCTGCTCCTCTAGCGTTGGTGCATGTGGATGTAGCTCATCAAGTGCCTCTGCCAAACTCTCCACCACCTCTGTCTACGTCTGCGTCTCCGTCTCTGTCTCCATCTTCATCAACACCTCAACCTCCATCTCGACCGCCACCTTCGTCGACCTCCTCCCCCGGTTCGACATCGCATTCCATACGGCCACAGTCGCCGAATTTATCTATCTCACCTAATAATCAATCCGATAACGCGCCAGTTTCGCCGCCCAATATGGCTCCTGTGCGTTGATTCCCGACCTCCTCCAAGCTTTCATTCACAATCTTGGCCCGATGCTTGTTGGGGACACAGCGCAGACTGTACTCCTAGTTTATTGACGCTGACTTTGGTTTTCTGCAGAAGAAGGCTGCCAACAACAGCAGCAAGTCCAACGAGGACGATGGATACACAGCTGGTATGCTCCATCCAGCCTCCATGTTTCAAGGTACCTTACGGTGTCGCTAATACTATTTGCAGGTAAAATCTACTCCATCTCCGGGTCAGTACCTGCCGATACACATATCCTGCGTCAATATCCAGTCGCAAAATGAGCTCGTCGAAGCTAGCTCGCCGATATCCAACATGTTATACTGACTTTATGCAGTCCTGTCGTCATTGCTGAGGACATGATTGGTGTTGCCATGTACGAGTTGGTCAGTTGCAGTCATCCACCGCACCATCATCCGCCAAAAACTGACACGATACTATTGTAGGTCAGAGTAGGACACGACAACCTCGTTGGTGAGGTTATCCGAATCAATGGCGACCAGGCCTCTATCCAGGTTTACGAGGAGACATGTACGGCAACCCGTGATAAGGTCCAAGAACTACAAGCTAATCTACATTGCAGCCGGCGTCATGGTTGGTGACCCCGTCTACCGAACCGGAAAGCCCTTGTCCGTCGAGCTTGGTCCCGGTCTGCTCAACGGTATCTACGACGGTATCCAGCGTCCCCTCGAGGCTATTTCCAAGATGGCCAAGTCCATTTACATTCCCCGCGGTATCGCCGTTCCTGCCCTCGACCGCGAAAAGAAGTGGGAGTTCACACCCTCCGTCAAGGTCGGCGACCACCTCTCTGGTGGTGATGTTTGGGGTTCCGTCTTTGAGAACTCTTTCCTTGCCAACCACAAGATTCTGTTCCCTCCTCGCGCCCGAGGAACCGTTACCAAGATCGCCTCCAAGGGCGAGTACACCGTTGTCGACAACATCCTCGAGGTCGAGTTCGATGGCAAGAAGACCGAGTACCCCATGATGCAGTCCTGGCCTGTTCGAGTGCCCCGTCCTTCCAACGATAAGAAGTCTGCCGATCAGCCCTTCATTGTCGGCCAGCGAGTCCTCGACGCCCTTTTCCCCAGTGTTCAGGGTGGTACCGTCGCCATCCCCGGTGCTTTCGGTTGTGGAAAGACTGTCATTAGTCAGTCTGTGTCCAAGTTCTCCAACAGTGACGTTATTGTCTACGTTGGTTGTGGTGAGCGAGGTAACGAGATGGCTGAAGTCTTGAAGGATTTCCCCGAGCTTACCATTGAGGTCGACGGCCGCAAGGAGCCCATCATGAAGCGAACCACACTTATTGCCAACACTTCCAACATGCCCGTCGCTGCCCGAGAAGCTTCCATTTACACGGGAATTACGGTGGCTGAGTATTTCCGCGATCAGGGTCTCAACGTCGCCATGATGGCTGATTCTTCTTCCCGATGGGCTGAGGCTCTTCGAGAACTCTCAGGTCGTCTGGGAGAAATGCCTGCTGATCAGGGTTTCCCCGCTTACCTGGGTGCCAAGCTTGCCTCGTTCTACGAGCGAGCCGGTCGTGTCCAGACCCTTGGTTCTCCTGAGCGCGAGGGTAGTGTCAGTATTGTCGGTGCCGTCAGTCCCCCTGGTGGTGATTTCTCCGATCCCGTCACGACAGCTACTTTGGGTATTGTGCAGGTCTTCTGGGGTCTCGACAAGAAGCTTGCTCAGCGAAAGCATTTCCCTTCCATCAACACCTCGGCCTCTTACAGTAAGTACAACAACATTTTGGACAAGTACTACGAGAAGAACTACCCTGATTTCCCCCGACTCCGCGACCGTATCAAGCAACTCCTTTCCGACTCTGAGGAGCTCGACCAGGTCGTGCAGCTTGTCGGAAAGAGTGCTCTGTCTGACCCTGACAAGATTACTCTCGATATTGCTGGCCTGATCAAGGAGGATTTCCTCCAGCAGAACGGTTACTCAGACTATGACCAGTTCTGTCCCATCTGGAAGACTGAGTGGATGATGAAGCTTATGGTCGGCTTCCATGATGAGGCTCAGAAGGTTATTGCGCAGGGTCAGAGCTGGGCCAAGGTGCGAGAGGCTACATCCGAACTACAAGCCAACCTACGACAGCTTAAGTTCGAGGTGCCTACCGATGGCCAGGAAGCTATTACCAAGAGAGTGAGTTATTCGCCATGTATAGCCTTTCACATACATTTACTAACACATTTCTTAGTACGAGGAGATCCAACAGAAGATGACAGACAAGTTCGCTGCTGTCATGGACGAGTAAGACCTGAGCAAGCTGCTGGTTATTTCTGTCTTGAAGCTATAGATGAGTCATGTTGTGGGATAGGCCGGAACATGGCTGGTATTCGATTACTGTTTGCGCCGCCCCGTAGTCTAGTGTATGCATCCAATATCAATTTGTTCGAAATTCGAAACCATCTTTTGTTTGTGATATACCATAGTATGTGGGTCAATGAGTGAGGTTAAAGTGATGAGCGGATGTGGGGCTACATGCAAGTTATTCTCACCATCAACCTGTAGACAAGGATGTTCTCATACTTGCAACTGTTGAAACTATACAGCGTCTTTATATATATACTTTTTGTAAGCATTCAGTTGACTTAAAATAAATTCAATCCCGCTCACGCTCACATACATACACCTTTCTCCTTCATCCTCCCAACCCCTCACTCCCCGAGCAATGTCCGAAGAGCTTCAAGACGAGGTCGAAGCTATCAACTCCATATATGGCGATGGTAGTCTTGTCCCATCAGACGATGACTCCTCTGTCTATATTCTAAACCTCCCCGGTGATGCGTCCTCACTTCGTCTCAAGTTCCCTTCAAATTACCCCTCTCAACCGCCCACTGTTCTCGGCACGCACCATAGCTCCGGCGGCGTCAAGGGCGCCGGCGCTCGTGATCTGGGCCTCTTCCGCGATGCCTTGACCGAGGTCTTTCAAGAAGGACTGGTATGTCTTTTCGATGCGGTGGAAGAATTCACGCGGCGTGCCGAGGAAGAGAAACCAGAACCTCAAGAAATGGAACCTCCAACTACTTCAACGCCCGAGGAAGAGTACTACGAAGAACCAGATTTTCCGCCTCCAGAATGGGTTCTCTCCGACCTCGTCACAGAGTCAAAATCAACGTTCCTAGCACACGTCGCGCGAGTCACGTCGCCTGATCAAGCACGCTACTACGTCCAACTCCTTCTTGCATCCGACAAGCGTATCCGTGGCGCCACGCACAACATGACAGCATGGAGGATCCGCGGGCCTGGTGCCTCAAGCTTCCAGGACTGTGATGATGACGGAGAGGCCGCTGCGGGAGGAAGGATGTTACATCTGATGCAGGTCATGGACGTCTGGGACGCCATGGTAGTGGTGACGAGATGGTACGGCGGTGTTCAGCTGGGACCTAGAAGGTTTGCGCTGATCAACGCTGTAGCAAGGGACGGTTTGGTTAAGGCTGGTTTGGTAAAAGAGGAGAAGCAGGAGAAGAAAAAAGGGAAGTGAACCCTTCAACAGGGAGACTTTACGCTTGAATATAGCATGGCAAGAAAACGGAAATACACATCAACAATCAATTGTTACACTATTTGGTATCAAATATGGAACTCAGCCGCACCTCCCTAGAAACACCATTCAGACAAACAATCCAAACCGCACATCGCCCATATTAGAATATCTAGAAATTACTTGCTCCCGCACATCAATCCCAGCCCCTCGACTTCACAGCAAACAAACGCCGTTTCCTTTGCGCCTCTCGTTAGCTGCTCATCTACTATGAGCATTTCGTTATCGTACAGCATATATGTCACAGATGTTCTTCTTCGTTTGTTGTATCAGATCGAGGGCCCATGGCTAGATTTCATCGCTCAGCAATGGTTTTAAGATACCCATTGCCCTGACG